ACCCCATAAGACCCCATAGGACCCCATAGGACCCCATAGAACCCCATAAGACTTTATAGGACCCCATAGGACCCCATAAGACCCCATAAGACCCCATAGGACCCCATAAAACCCCATAGGACCCCATAGGACCCCATAGGACCCCATAAAACCCCATAGGACCCCATAGGACCCCATAGGACCCCATAGGACCCCATAAATCCCCTCTAGGGCCCCATAGGACCCCATAAGACCCCATAGGACCCCATAGGACCCCATAAGACCCCATAGGACCCCATAAGACCCCATAAGACCCCATAAATTCCCCATAGGACCCCATAAATCCCCCATAAGACTCGATAAGTCCCCATAGGATCCCATAAGACCCCATAGCACCCCATAGGACCCCATAAGACCCCGTAAGACCCCATAAGACGCCATAGGACCCCATAGGACCCCATAAGATACCATAAGACCCCATAAATCCCCCATAGCACCCCATAAGACCCCATAGGACCCCATAAGACCCCATAAATCCCCCATAGGACCCCATAAGACCCCATAGGACCCCATAGGACCCCATAGGACCCCATAAATCCCCCATAGGACCCCATAGGACCCCATAGGACCCCATAGGACCCCATAAAGACCCCATAGGACCCCATAGGACCCCATAAAACCCCATAGGACCCCATAGGACCCCATAGGACCCCATAGGACCCCATAAGACCCCATAAATTCCCCATAGGACCCCATAAATCCCCCATAAGACCCGATAAGTCCCCATAGGATCCCATAAGACCCCATAGCACCCCATAGGACCCTATAAAGCCCCATAAGGACCCCATAAGTCCCCATAGAACCCCATAGGACCCCATAGGACCCCATAGGACCCCATAAGACCCCATAAGACCCCATAGGACCCCATAAGACCCCGTAAGACCCCATAAGACGCCATAGGACCCCATAGGACCCCATAAGATACCATAAGACCCCATAAATCCCCCATAGCACCCCATAAGACCCCATAGGACCCCCTAAGACCCCATAAATCCCCCATAGGACCCCATAAGACCCCATAGGACCCCATAGGACCCCATAGAACCCCATAAGACTTTATAGGACCCCATAGGACCCCATAAGACCCCATAAGACCCCATAGGACCCCATAAGACCCCATAGGACTCCATAGGACCCCATAAGACCCCATAAGACCTTAAAACCCCATAAGACCCCATAGGACCCCATAGGACCCCATAAGACCCCATAGGACCCCATAGGACCCCATAGCACCCCATAGGACCCCATAAGACCCCATAAGACCCCATAGGACCCCATAGGAGCCCATGGGACCCCATAGAACCCCATAGAACCCCATAAGACCCCATAGGACCCCATAGGACCCCATAGGACCCCATAGGACCCCATGAGACCCCATAGGACCCCATAGGACCCCATAGGCCCCCCATAGCACCCCATAGCACCCCATAGGACCCCGTAAGACCCCATAGGACCCCATAGGACCCCATAGGACCCCATAAGACCCCGTAGGACCCCATAGGACCCCATAGGACCCCATAAATCCCCTCTAGGACCCCATAGGACCCCATAAGACCCCATAGGACCCCATAGGACCCCATAGGACCCCATAAGACCCCATAGGACCCCATAGGACCCCATAGGACCCCATAGGACCCTATGAGACCCCATAAGTCCCCATAGGACCCCATAGGACCCCATAAGACCCCATAAATCCCCCATAGGACCCCATAAATCCCCCATAAGACCCCATAGGACCCCACAGGACCCCATAAGACCCCATAGGACTCCGTAGGACCCCATAAGACCCCATAGGACCCCATAGGACCCCATAGGACCCCATAAGACCCTATGAGACCCCATAAGACCCCACAGGACCCCATAGGACCCCATAGGACTCCATAAGACCCCATAGGACCCCATAGGACCCCATAGGACCCCATAGGACCCCATAAGACCCCATAAGACCCCATAGGACCCCATAGGACCCCATAGGACCCCATAAGACCCCATAGGACCCCGTAAGACCCCATAAAACCCCATAGGACCCCATAGCACCCCATAAGACCCCATAGGACCCCATAGGACCCCATAAGACCCCATAGGACCCCATAAGACCCCATAAAATCCCCATAGGACCCCATAGGACCCCATAGGACCCCATAGGACCCCATGGCACCCCATAAATCCCCCATAGGTGCAATACAGCAGCTGGGGCTTCGTGGAGAAGAACCGCGACCACCGTTTATGAGGAGCTGCTGGACGTCGTCAGGGCCAGCGGGGTGAGCGCGATTAGGGCCGTTATTAGCGTTATTAGCGGGCTATTAGGGCTAATAGGGCCGCTATTAGGGCTAATAGGGCTGTTATTAGGGTAATAGGGCTGGTATTAGGGGTATTAGGGCCGGTATTAGGGATTGTGAGGGGTAATAGGGCAGTTATTAGGGGGATTAGGGCGGTATTAGCGTTATTAGCCCGCTATTAGGGCTAATAGGGCCGGTATTAGGGGATTATTAGGGGTTTGGAGGGAGTTATTGGGGTTATTAGGGGATTATTAGGGGTTTTGGGGTGGATATTAGGGATTATTAGGGGTATTAGGGCAGTTATTAGCGTTATTAGCCCGTTACTAGGGCTAATAGGGCCGGTATTAGGGTAATAGGGCCATTATTAGGGCTAATAGGGCCAGTATTAGGGTAATAGGGCTGGTATTAGGGGTATTAGGGCCGGTATTAGGGGATTATGAGGGGTAATAGGGCAGTTATTGGGGGATTAGGGCCGTTATTAGCGTTATTAGCTGGCTATTAGGGCTAATTGGGCCGCTATTAGGGCTAATAGGGCTGCTATTAGGGGATTATTAGGGGTTTGGAGGGAGTTATTGGGGTTATTAGGGGATTATTAGGGGTTTTGGGGTGGATATTAGGGATTATTAGGGGTATTAGGGCCGGTATTAGGGTAATAGGGCCGGTATTAGGGCTAATAGGGCCTGTATTAGGGTAATAGGGCTGGTATTAGGGCTAATATGGTTGCTAATAGGGGTATTAGGGCTGTTATTAGCATTATTAGCCCGGTATTAGGGCTAATAGGGCCGCTATTAGGGCTAATAGGGCTGTTATTAGGGTAATAGGGCTGTTATTAGGGGTATTAGGGCCGGTATTAGGGGATTATGAGGGGTTTTGGGGGAGTTATTAGCATTATTAGCCCGTTATTAGGGGTAATAGGGCTGTTATTAGCGTTATTAGCCTGTTACTAGGGCTAATAGGGCCGCTATTAGGGCTAACAGGGCTGTTATTAGGGCTAATAGGGCTGTTATTAGGGAATTACTAGGGGTTTGGGGGGAGTTATTAGGGTTATTAGGGGATTATTAGGGGTAATAGGGCATTTATTAGGAAGATTAGGGCCGTTATTAGCGTTATTAGCTGGTTATTAGGGCTAATAGGGCGATTATTAGGGCTAATAGGGAGCTTATTAGGGTTATTAATTGTTAACTAGTGCTAATAGGGCGGTTATTAGGGCTAATAGGGCGGTTATTAGGGCTAATACGGCGGATATTAGGGTTATTAATTGTTAATTAGTGCGGTTAAAAGAGCTAATAGGGCAGTTATAAGGGTTATTAGTTCTTAATTAGGGCTAATAGGGTGGTTATTAGGGGTATTAATTGTTTATTAGGGCTAATAGGGCGGTTATTAGGGTTATTAGTTATTAATTAGGGCTATTAGGGCTGTTATTAGAGCTAATAGGGCGCTTATTTGGGCTATTAATTGTTAATTAGGGCTAATAGGGCGGTTATTAGGCTAATTATTAGGCTAATTATTAGGCTATTTGAGCGCTAATTAGGCTAATTATTAGGCTACTTATTAGGCTACTTATTAGGGCACTCACTTATGTAATAGGTTAATTATTAGTGTGTTCATTAGGGCATTCATTAGGGCATTAATTAGGGCTATTAATTAGAGCACTTATTAGGGTATTTGTTAGGGTCTTTATTAGCTTATTAATTAGATTATTAAGCTAATTATTACCTAATTTGTCAGGCTGTTTCTTAAGCTAATTATTCGGGCATTAATTAGCTGATCAGCCTAATTATTAGCCTAAATATCAGGCTAATTATTAGGCTAATTATTAGGCTATTTGAGCGCTAATTAGGCTAATTATTAGGCTACTTATTAGGGTAATAGGGTAATTATTAGTGTGATCATTAGGGCCATTAATTAGGCCATTAATTAGGGCATTAATTAGGGCATTAATTAGGGCCGCCATTTTGTTTCCCCCCCCTCCCCCCCTTCCAGGACCCCACCATCGCCTCCCTCTTCCGGGTCGACGAATCGACCAATCAGACGCAGCCTTACAAAATCCGCTCCGCCCGCCCCGCCAATCAGAACGCCCGACAGGGAGAACCGCAAGACGGTGGGCCAGCAGGTAAAGGGGGAATGGGGGGCAATAAGGGGGAATGGGGGGCAGTTATGGGGTCTGGGGGGGCAGTTATGGGTCTGGGGGGGCAGTTATGGGGTCTGGGGGCAGTTATGGGGTCTGGGGGGGCAATAAGGGGGAATGGGGGCAGTTATGGGGTCTGGGGGGCAGTTATGGGGTCTGGGGGGGCAGTTATGGGGTCTGGGGGGCAGTTATGGGTCTGGGGGGCAGTTATGGGTGTGGGGGGGGAATAGGGGGCAATGGGGGCAGTTATGGGGTCTGGGGGGGGAATAGGGGGCAATGGGGGCAGTTATGGGTGTGGGGGGCAGTTATGGGTCTGGGGGCAGTTATGGGGTGTGGGGGGCAGTTATGGGGTCTGGGGGGGCAGTTATGGGGTGTGGGGGGGGAATAGGGGGCAATGGGGGCAGTTATGGGGTCTGGGGGGGCAGTTATGGGGTGTGGGGGGCAGTTATGGGGTGTGGGGGGCAGTTATGGGGTGTGGGGGGCAGTTATGGGGTCTGGGGGGGCAGTTATGGGGTCTGGGGGGGCAATAAGGGGGAATGGGGGGCAGTTATGGGGTCTGGGGGGGCAGTTATGGGGTCTGGGGGGGGAATAGGGGGCAATGGGGGCAGTTATGGGGTCTGGGGGCTGTTATGGGTCTGGGGGGGGAATAGGGGGCAATGGGGGCAGTTATGGGGTCTGGGGGGGCAGTTATGGGTCTGGGGGGCAGTTATGGGGTCTGGGGGGCAGTTATGGGGTTTGGGGGCAATTATGGGGTCTGGGGGGGCAGTTATGGGGTGTGGGGGGGCAGTTATGGGGTTTGGGGGCAGTTATGGGGTCTGGGGGGGCAGTTATGGGGTCTGGGGGGGGCAATAATGGGGAATGGGGGCAGTTATGGGGTCTGAGGGGCAGTTATGGGGTGTGGGGGGCAGTTATGGGGTCTGGGGGGGCAGTTATGGGGTCTGGGGGGGGGAATAGGGGGCAATGGGGGCAGTTATGGGGTCTGGGGGGGCAGTTATGGGGTCTGGGGGGGCAGTTATGGGGTTGGTCCTCCAACCTTGGTCCTCCAACGTCGGTCCTCCAACCTTGGTCCTCCAACCTTGGTCCTCCAACCTCAGTCCTCCAATGTTGGTCCTCCAATGTTGGTCCTCCAATGTTGGTCCTTCAACCTCAGTCCTCCAACGTTGGTCCTCCAATGTTGGTCCTCCAACCTCGGTCCTCCAACCTTGGTCCTCCAATGTTGGTCCTCCAACCTCGGTCCTCCAACGTTGGTCCTCCAATGTTGGTCCTCCAACCTCAGTCCTCCAACTTCAGTCCTCCAACCTTGGTCCTCCAACCTTGGTCCTCCAACCTCGGTCCTCCAACCTCAGTCCTCCAATGTTGGTCCTCCAACCTTGGTCCTCCAATGTTGGTCCTCCAATGTTGGTCCTCCAACCTTGGTCCTCCAACCTTGGTCCTCCAATGTTGGTCCTCCAACCTTGGTCCTCCAACCTCGGTCCTCCAACCTCGGTCCTCCAACCTCAGTCCTCCAATGTTGGTCCTCCAACCTCAGTCCTCCAACCTCGGTCCTCCAACCTCAGTCCTCCAACCTTGGTCCTCCAACCTCAGTCCTCCAATGTTGGTCCTCCAATGTTGGTCCTCCAATGTTGGTCCTCCAACCTCAGTCCTCCAACCTTGGTCCTCCAATGTTGGTCCTCCAATGTTGGTCCTCCAATGTTGGTCCTCCAACGTTGGTCCTCCAATGTCGGTCCTCCAACCTCAGTCCTCCAATGTTGGTCCTCCAATGTTGGTCCTCCAACCTCAGTCCTCCAACCTCAGTCCTCCAACCTTGGTCCTCCAACCTCGGTCCTCCAACCTCAGTCCTCCAATGTTGGTCCTCCAACCTCAGTCCTCCAATGTTGGTCCTCCAACCTTGGTCCTCCAACCTCGGTCCTCCAACGTTGGTCCTCCAATGTTGGTCCTCCAACCTTGGTCCTCCAACGTTGGTCCTCCAACATTGGTCCTCCAACCTTGGTCCTCCAACCTCAGTCCTCCAATGTTGGTCCTCCAACCTTGGTCCTCCAATGTTGGTCCTCCAACCTTGGTCCTCCAACGTTGGTCCTCCAACCTTGGTCCTCCAATGTTGGTCCTCCAACCTCGGTCCTCCAATGTTGGTCCTCCAACCTTGGTCCTCCAATATTGGTCCTCCAACCTTGGTCCTCCAATGTTGGTCCTCCAACCTCAGTCCTCCAACCTCAGTCCTCCAACCTCGGTCCTCCAACCTCAGTCCTCCAACCTCAGTCCTCCAACGCTCTCCCTTGCCATCCCAGAATCCTTCAGTCCTTTATGGGGTTTTTCCCCTCGCAGTTTCGGGGTTCCCTGCGGCTGCTGATGGAAACCCTGAACTCCACCACGCCGCACTACGTGCGCTGCCTCAAACCCAACGAGCAGCGCCAGCCCTTCCGGTAATGGGGCCTATGGGGTCTTATGGGGTCTTATGGGGTCCTATGGGGTCTTATGGGGTCCTATGGGGTCCTATGGGGTCCTATGGGGTCCTATGGGGTCTTATGGGGTCCTATGGGGTCCTATGGGGTCCTATGGGGTCTTATGGGGTCCTATGGGGTCCTATGGGGTCCTATGGGGTCTTATGGGTTCCTATGGGGTCCTATAGGGTCTTATGGGGTCCTATGGGGTCTTATGGGGTCCTATGGGGGCCTATGGTTTCTAATGGGCTTCAATGGGGTCTTATGGGGTCCTATGGGGTCCTATGGGGTCCTATGGGGTCCTATGAGGTCTTATGGGGTCTTATGGGGTCCTGTGGGGTCCTATGGGGTTTTATGGGGTCCTATGGGGTCCTATGGGCTCCTATGGGGTCCTATGGGGTCTTATGGGGTCCTATGGGGTCCTATGGGGTCTTATGGGGTCCTATGGGGTCCTATGGGGTCCTATGGGGTCCTATGAGGTCCTACTGGGTTCCTATGGGGTTTTATGGGGTCCTATGGGGTCTTATCGGGTCCTATGGGGTCCTATGGGGTCTTATGGGGTCTTATGGGGTCCTATGGGGTCCTATGGGGTCCTATGGGGTCCTATGGGGTCTTATGGGTTCCTATGGGGTCCTATGGGGTCTTATGGGGTCCTATGGGGTCTTATGAGGTCCTATGGGGTCCTATGGGGTCTTATGGGGTCCTATGGGGGCCTATGGTTTCTAATGGGCTTCAATGGGGTCTTATGGGGTCCTATGGGGTCCTATGGGGTCCTATGGGGTCCTATGAGGTCTTATGGGGTCTTATGGGGTCCTGTGGGGTCCTATGGGGTTTTATGGGGTCCTATGGGGTCCTATGGGCTCCTATGGGGTCCTATGGGGTCTTATGGGGTCCTATGGGGTCCTATGGGGTCTTATGGGGTCCTATGGGGTCCTATGGGGTCCTATGGGGTCTTATCGGGTCCTATGGGGTCCTATGGGGTCCTATGGGGTCTTATGGGGTCTTATGGGGTCCTATGGGGTCCTATGGGTTCCTATGGGGTCTTTATGGGGTCCTATGGGGTCCTATTGGGTCCTATGGGGTCCAATGGGCTTCTATGGGGTCTTTATGGGGTCCTATGGGGGCCTATGGTTTCTAATGGGCTTCAATGGGGTCTTATGGGGTCTTATGGGGTCCTGTTGGGTTTTATGGGGTCCTATGGGCTTCTATGGGGTCCTATGGGGTCCTTACAGGGTCCTATGGGGGTCTATGGGTTCCAATGGCGTCTTATGGGTTCCTATGGGGTCCTATGGGGGCCTATGGGGTCTCATGGGGTCCTATGGGGTCTTATGGGGTCCTATGGGGTTTCTATTGATTCCTATGGGGTCTTATGGGGTCCTATGGGGTCCTATGGTTTCTTATGGGGTCCTATGGGGTTTTATGGCGTCCTATGGGGTGTTATAGGCTCCTATGCAGTCTTTATGGGCTCCTATGGGGTCCTGTGGTTTCTAATGGCCTTCCATGGGGTCCTATGGGGTCCTATGGGGTCTTATGGGGTCCTATGGGGTCCTATGGGGGCCTATGGGGTCCTATGGGGTCTTATGGTGTCCTATGGGGTCTTATGGGGTCCTATGGGGTCCTATGGGGTCCTATGGGGTCTTATGGGGTCCTATGGGGTCCTATGGGGTCCTATGGGCTTCTATGGGCTCCTATGGGGTCCTATGGGGTCTTATGGGGTCCTATGGGGTCCTATGGGCTTCTATGGGGTCCTATAGGCTCCTATGGTTTCTAAAGGGCTTCAATGGGGTCTTATGGGGTCCTATGGGGTCTTATGGGGTCCTATGGGGTCCTATGGGGTCCTATGGGGTCTTATGGGGTCCTATGGGGTCCTATGGGATCCTATGGGGTCTTACGGGGTCCTATGGGGTCCTATGGGGTCCTATGGGGTCCTATGGGGTTTTATGGGGTCCTATGGGGGCCTATGGGGCCTTATGGGGTCTTATGGGGTCTTATGAGGTCCTATGGGGTCCTATGGGTTCCTGTGGGGTCCTATGGGGTCTTATGGGGTCCTGTGGGGTCCTATGGGGTCCTATGGGGTCCAATGGGGTCCTATGGGGTCCTATGGGGTCCTATGGGCTTCTATGGGCTCCTATAGGGTCCTATGGTTTCTAAAGGGCTTCAATGGGGTCTTATGGGGTCCTATGGAGTCCTGTGGGGTCTTTATGGGGTCCTATGGGGTCTTATGGGGTCCTATGGGGTCTTATGGGGTCCTATGGGGTCCTATTGGGTCCTATGGGGTCCAGTCGGCTTCTATGGGGTCCTTATGGGGTCCTATGGGGGCCTATGGTTTCTAATGGGCTTCAACGGGGTGTTATGGGGTCTTATGGGGTCCTATGGGGTCCTATGGGGTCCAATGGGGTCTTATGGGGTCCTATGGGGTCCTATGGGGTCCTATGAGGTCCTACTGGGTTCCTATGGGGTTTTATGGGGTCCTATGGGGTCCTATGGGTTCCTATGGGGTCCTATGGGGTCTTATGAGGTCCTTATGGGGTCCTATGGGGTCCCATGGGGTCTTATGGGGTCTTATGGGGTCCTATGGGGTCTTATGGGGTCTTATGGGGTCTTATGGGGTTCTATGGGGTCTTATGGGGTCCTATGGGGTCCTATGGGGTCTTATGGGTTCCTATGGGGTCCTATGGGCTCTTATGGGGTCCTATGGGGTCCTATGGGTTCCTATGGGTCCCTATGGGGTCCTATGGGGTTTTATGGGGTCTTATGGGGTCCTATGGGGTCCTATGGGGCCCTATGGGGCCCTATGAAGTCCTATGCAGTCTTTATGGGGTCCTATTGGGTTTTATGTGGTCCAATTGGCTTCTATGGGGTCCTATGGCTTCTTATAGGGTCTAATGGGGTCCTATGGGGTCCTATGGGGTCTTATGGGGTTTTATGGGGTCTTATGGGGTCTTATGAGGTCCTATGGGGTTCTATGGGGTCCTATGCGGTCTTTATGGGGTCCTATTGGATTTTATGGGGTCTTATGGGTTCCTGTGGGGTCCTATGGGGTCCTATGGGGTCTTATGGGTTCCTATGGGGTCCTATGGGGTTTTATGGGGTCCTATGGGGTGCTATAGGACTCTATGGAGTCCTTATGGGGCTCTATGGGGTCCTATGGTTCCTATGGGGTCTTATGGGGTCTTATAGGGTCCTATGGGGTCCTATGGGGTCTTATGGGGTCCTATGGGGTCCTATTGGGTCCTATGGGGTCTTATGGGGTCCTATGGGGTCCTATGGGATTCTACGGGGTCTTATGGGGTCCTATTGGGTCTTATGGGGTCTTATGGGGTCCTATGGGGTCCTATGGGGTCCTATGGGGTCCTATGGGGTCTTATGGGGTCCTATGGGGTCCTATGGGCTTCTATGGGCTCCTAAAGGGTCCTATGGTTTCTAAAGGGCTTGAATGGGTTCTTATGGGGTCCTATGGGGTCTTTATGGGGTCCTATGGGGTCTTATGGGTTCCTATGGGGTCCTATGGGGTCCTATGGGGTCCAATGGGCTTCTATGGGGTCCTTATGGGGTCCTATGGGGTCCTATGGGGTCTTATGGGGTCTCATGGGTTCCTATGGGGTCCTATGGGGTCTTATGGGGTCCTATGGAGTCCTATGGGGTCTTATGGGGTCCTATGGGGTTCTACGGGGTCCTATGGGGTCCTTATGGGTTCCTATGGGGTCCTATGGGGTCCAGTGGGCTTCTATGGGGTCCTTATGGGGTCCTATGGGGTCCTATGGGGTCCTATGGGGTCTTATGGGGTCCTATGGGGTCCTATGGGGTCCTTATGGGGTCCTATGGGGTCCTATGGGGTCTTATGGGGTCTTATGGGGTCTTATGGGGTCCTATGGGGTCCTATGGGGTCCTATGGGGTCTTATGGGGTCCTATGGGGTCCTATGGGGGCCTATGGGGCCTTATGGGGTCTTATGGGGTCTTATGAGGTCCTATGGGTTCCTGTGGGGTCCTATGGGGTCTTATGGGGTCCTGTGGGGTCCTATGGGGTCCTATGGGGTCCAATGGGGTCCTATGGGGTCCTATGGGGTCCTATGGGCTTCTATGGGCTCCTATAGGGTCCTATGGTTTCTAAAGGGCTTCAATGGGGTCTTATGGGGTCCTATGGAGTCCTATGGGGTCTTTATGGGGTCCTATGGGGTCTTATGGGTTCCTATGGGGTCCTATGGGGTCCTATGGGGTCCTGTTGGGTCCTATGGGGTCCAATGGGCTTCTATGGGGTCCTTATGGGGTCCTATGGGGGTCTATGGTTTCTAATGGGCTTCAATGGGGTCTTATGGGGTCTTATGGGGTCCTATGGGGTCTTATGGGGTCCTATGGGGTCCTATGGGGTCTTATGGGGTCCTATGGGGTCCTATGGGGTCTTATGGGGTCCTATGGGGTCCTATGGGGTCCTATGGGGTCTTATGGGGTCCTATGGGGTCTTATGAGGTCCTATGGGGTCCTATGTGGTCCTATCGGGTCTTATGGGGTCTTATGGGGTCTTATGGGGTCTTATGGGGTCCTATGGGGTCTTATGGGGTCCTATGGGGTCCAATGGGGTCCTATGGGGTCCTATGGGGTCCTATGGGCTTCTATGGGCTCCTATAGGGTCCTATGGTTTCTAAAGGGCTTCAATGGGGTCTTATGGGGTCCTATGGAGTCCTATGGGGTCTTTATGGGGTCCTATGGGGTCTTATGGGTTCCTATGGGGTCCTATGGGGTCCAATGGGCTTCTATGGGGTCCTTATGGGGTCCTATGGGGGTCTATGGTTTCTAATGGGCTTCAATGGGGTCTTATGGGGTCTTATGGGGTCCTGTTGGGTTTTATGGGGTCCTATGGGCTTCTATGGGGTCCTATGGGGTCCTTACAGGGTCCTATGGGGGTCTATGGGTTCCAATGGCGTCTTATGGGTTCCTATGGGGTCCTATGGGCTCTTATGGGGTCCTATGGGGTCCTATGGGTTCCTATGGGGTCCTATGGGGTCTTATGAGGTCCTTATGGGGTCCTATGGGGTCCTATGGGGTCTTATGGGGTCTTATGGGGTCCTATGGGGTCTTATGGGGTCCTATGGGGTCTTATGGGGTCCTATGGGGTCCTATGGGGTCCAATGGGGGCTTATGGGGTCCTATAGGGTCCTATGGGGGTCCTATGGGGTCTTATGGGGTCTTATGGGGTCCTATGGGGTCCTATGGGGTCCTATGGGGTCTTATGGGGTCTTATGGGGTCTTATGGGGTCCTATGGGGTTTTATGGGGTCCTATGGGGTCTTATGGGGTCCTATGGGGTCCTATGGGGTCTTATGGGGTCTTATGGGGTCTTATGGGGTCCTGTTGGGTTTTATGGGGTCCTATGGGTTCCTATGGGGTCCTATGGGGTCTTATGGGGTCTTATGGGGTTTTATGGGGTCCTATGGGGTCCTATGGGTTCCTATGGGGTCCTATGGGGTCTTATGAGGTCCTTATGGGGTCCTATGGGGTCCTATGGGGTCTTATAGGGTCCTATGGGGTCTTATGGGGTCTGTGGGGTCTTATGGGGTCCTATGGGGCCCAATAGGATTTTTACCCCCTTCCAGGACCTTGCAGGTCCTCCAACTTCGGGTCCTTTCAGGTTCGACCCCAAAAGGGCCGTGCAGCAACTGAGGGCCTGTGGGGTTTTGGAGACGGTTCGCATCAGCGCTGCGGGGTTTCCAACCAGGTAGGAATTTTCCTTTACCCTTCCAGGACCTTTCTGACCCCATTCTTTCCCCTTCCAGGACCTTTCTGAGCCTCTTGCCACCCCATTTTTCCCCTTCCAGGACCTTTCTGACCCCATCTTTCCCCTTCCAGGACCTTTCCACCCCATCTTTCCCCTTCCAGGACCTTTCTGAGCCTCTTTCCACCCCATCTTTCCCCTTCCAGGACCTTTCTGACCCCATTTTTCCCCTTCCAGGACCTTTCTGAGCCTCTTTCCACCCCATCTTTCCCCTTCCAGGACCTTTCTGACCCCATCTTTCCCCTTCCAGGACCTTTTTGAGCCTCTTTCCACCCCATTTTCCCCTTCCAGGACCGTTCTGACCCCATCTTTCCCCTTCCAGGACCTTTCTGAGCCTCTTTCCACCCCATTTTTCCCCTTCCAGGACCTTTCTGACCCCATTTTCCCCTTCCAGGACCTTTCTGACCCCATCTTTTCCCTTCCAGGACCTTTCTGAGCCTCTTTCCACCCCATTTTCCCCCTTCCAGGACCTTTCTGACCCCATTTTACCCCTTCCAGGACCTTTCTGAGCCTCTTTCCACCCCATCTTCCCCCTTCCAGGACCTTTCAGACCCCATCTTTCCCCTTCCAGGACCTTTCTGAGCCTCTTTCCACCCCATTTTTCCCCTTCCAGGACCTTTCTGACCCCATTTTCCCCTTCCAGGACCTTTCTGAGCCTCTTTCCACCCCATCTTTCCCCTTCCAGGACCTTTCTGACCCCATTTTCCCCTTCCAGGTCCTTTCCACCCCATTTTTCCCCTTCCAGGACCTTTCTGACCCCATTTTCCCCTTCCAGGACCTTTCTGAGCCTCTTTCCACCCCATCTTTCCCCTTCCAGGACCTTTCTGACCCGATTTTTCCCCTTCCAGGACCTTTCTGAGCCTCTTTCCACCCCATTTTTCCCCTTCCAGGACCTTTCTGACCCCATCTTTCCCCTTCCAGGACCTTTCTGACCCCATTTTTCCCCTTCCAGGACCTTTCTGAGCCTCTTTCCACCCCATTTTTCCCCTTCCAGGACCTTTCTGAGCCCATCTTTCCCCTTCCAGGACCTTTCTGAGCCTCTTTCTACCCCATTTTTCCCCTTCCAGGACCTTTCTGACCCCATCTTTCCCCTTCCAGGACCTTTCTGAGCCTCTTTCCACCCCATTTTTCCCCTTCCAGGACCTTTCTGACCCCATTTTTCCCCTTCCAGGACCTTTCTGAGCCTCTTTTCACCCCATTTTTCCCCTTCCAGGACATTTCAGACCCCATCTTTCCCCTTCCAGGACCTTTCTGACCCCATCTTTCCCCTTCCAGGACCTTTCTGAGCTTCTATCCACCCCATCTTTCCCCTTCCAGGACCTTTCAGACCCCATCTTTCCCCTTCCAGGACCTTTCTGAGCCTCTTTCCACCCCATTTTTCCCCTTCCAGGACCTTTCTGACCCCATTTTCCCCTTCCAGGACCTTTCTGACCCCATTTCCCCCCTTCCAGGACCTTTCTGAGCCTCTTTCCACCCCATCTTTCCCCTTCCAGGACCTTTCTGACCCCATTTTCCCCCTTCCAGGACCTTTCTGAGCCTCTTTCCACCCCATTCTTTCCCCTTCCAGGACCTTTCTGACCCCATTTTTCCCCTTCCAGGACCTTTCTGACCCCATCTTTCCCCTTCCAGGACCTTTCTGAGCCTCTTTCCACCCCATCTTTCCCCTTCCAGGACCTTTCTGACCCCATTTTTCCCCTTCCAGGACCTTTCTGACCCCATCTTTCCCCTTCCAGGACCTTTCTGAGCCTCTTTCCACCCCATTTTTCCCCTTCCAGGACCTTTCTGACCCCATCTTTCCCCTTCCAGGACCTTTCTGAGCCTCTTTCCACCCCATTTTCCCCTTCCAGGACCTTTCTGACCCCATCTTTCCCCATCCAGGACCTTTCTGACCCCATCTTTCCCCTTCCAGGACCTTTCTGACCCCATTTTCCCCTTCCAGGACCTTTCTGAGCCTCTTTCCACCCCATCTTTCCCCTTCCAGGACCTTTCTGACCCCATTTTTCCCCTTCCAGGACCTTTCTGAGCCTCTTTCCACCCCATCTTTCCCCTTCCAGGACCTTTCTGACCCCATTTTTCCCCTTCCAGGACCTTTCTGAGCCTCTTTCCACCCCATTTTCCCCCTTCCAGGACCTTTCTGACCCCATTTTCCCCTTCCAGGACCTTTCTGACCCCATTTTCCCCTTCCAGGTCCTTTCCATCCCATCTTTCCCCTTCCAGGACCTTTCTGAGCCTCTTTCCACCCCATTTTTCCCCTTCCAGGACCTTTCTGACCCCATTCTTTCCCCTTCCAGGACCTTTCTGAGCCTCTTTCCACCCCATTTTTCCCCTTCCAGGACCCTTCAGACCCCATTTTCCCCTTCCAGGACCTTTCTGACCCCATTTTTCCCCTTCCAGGACCTTTCTGACCCCATCTTTCCCCTTCCAGGACCTTTCTGAGCCTCTTTCCACCCCATTTTTCCCCTTCCAGGACCTTTCTGACCCCATTTTCCCCTTCCAGGACCTTTCTGACCCCATCTTTCCCCTTCCAGGACCTTTCTGAGCCTCTTTTCACCCCATTCTTTCCCCTTCCAGGACCTTTCTGACCCCATCTTTCCCCTTCCAGGACCTTTCTGACCCCATCTTTCCCCTTCCAGGACCTTTCCATGCCACTCTTTCCCCTTCCAGGACCTTTCTGACCCCATTTTTCCCCTTCCAGGACCTTTCTGACCCCATTTTTCCCCTTCCAGGACCTTTCTGAGCCTCTTTCCACCCCATTTTCCCCCTTCCAGGACCTTTCTGACCCCATTTTCCCCTTCCAGGACCTTTCTGACCCCATTTTCCCCTTCCAGGTCCTTTCCATCCCATCTTTCCCCTTCCAGGACCTTTCTGAGCCTCTTTCCACCCCATTTTTCCCCTTCCAGGACCTTTCTGACCCCATTCTTTCCCCTTCCAGGACCTTTCTGAGCCTCTTTCCACCCCATTTTTCCCCTTCCAGGACCCTTCAGACCCCATTTTCCCCTTCCAGGACCTTTCTGACCCCATTTTCCCCTTCCAGGACCTTTCTGACCCCATCTTTCCCCTTCCAGGACCTTTCTGACCCCATTTTTCCCCTTCCAGGACCTTTCTGAGCCTCTTTCCACCCCATCTTTCCCCTTCCAGGACCTTTCTGACCCCATTTTTCCCCTTCCAGGACCTTTCTGAGCCTCTTTCCACCCCATCTTTCCCCTTCCAGGACCTTTCTGACCCCATTTTTCCCCTTCCAGGACCTTTCTGAGCCTCTTTCCACCCCATCTTTCCCCTTCCAGGACCTTTCTGACCCCATTTTTCCCCTTCCAGGACCTTTCTGACCCTCTTTCCACCCCATCTTTCCCCTTCCAGGACCTTTCAGACCCCATCTTTCCCCTTCCAGGACCTTTCTGAGCCTCTTTCCACCCCATTTTTCCCCTTCCAGGACCTTTCTGACCCCATCTTTCCCCTTCCAGGACCTTTCTGACCCCATTTTCCCCTTCCAGGACCTTTCTGACCCCATCTTTCCCCTTCCAGGACCTTTCTGAGCCTCTTTCCACCCCATTTTCCCCTTCCAGGACCTTTCCATCCCCATTTATTCACCTTCCAGGACCTTTCTGACCCCATTTTTCCCCTTCCAGGACCTTTCTGACCCCATTTTCCCCTTCCAGGACCTTTCCATCCCCATTTATTCACCTTCCAGGACCTTTCTGTTCCAGATGCTCCTATCAGGACTTCCTGAATCGTTATCGAGTCTTAATTAAGAAGCGCGACCCCGTTAAGAAGGACCCCAAATTAATCTGCCAGGACCTGTTGCAGGACCTCATTAAGGTGAGTCGTTAGGCTCATTAGCGACCTGCCAGGACCTGTTGGAGGACCTCATTAGGCTCATTAATGACCTCATTGGAGGACCTCATTAAGCAGATTCATTAGGCTCATTAGCGACCTGCCAGGACCTATTGGAGGACCTCATTAAGGTGATTTATTAGGCTCATTAGCGACCTGCCAGGACCTATTGGATGACCTCATTGGAGGACCTCATTAAGGTGATTTATTAGGCTCATTAGCAACCTGCCAGGACCTGTTGGAGGACCTCATTAGGCTCATTAATAACCTCATTGGAGGACCTCATTAAACAGAGTCATTAGCGACCTGCCAGGACCTATTGGAGGACCTTATTGGAGGACCTCATTAAGCAGAGTCATTAGGCTCATTAGTGACCTGCCAGGACCTATTGGAGGACCTCATTAGGCTCATTAATGACCTCATTGGAGGACCTCATTAAGACGAGTCATTAGGCTCATTAGCGACCTACCAGGACCTATTGGAGGACCTCATTGGGGGACCTCATTAAACAGAGTCATTAGCGACCTGCCAGGACCTGTTGGAGGACCTAACTGGAGGACCTATTAGCCCCATTGGAGGACCTCATTAAGCAGAGTCATTAGGCTCATTAGTGACCTGCCAGGACCTATTGGAGGACCTCATTGGAGGACCTCATTAGCCCTATTGGAGGACCTCATTAAGCAGACTCATTAGGCTCATTAGCGACCTGCCAGGACCTATTGGAGGACCTCATTGGAGGACCTCATTAAGTGGAGTCATTAGCGACCTGCCAGGACCTATTGGAGGACCTCATTAGGCTCATTAATGACTTAATTGGAGGACCTCATTAAGAGGAGTCATTAGGCTCATTAGTGACCTGCCAGGACCTATTGGAGGACCTCATTAAGGTGATTTATTAGGCTCATTAGCGAGCTGCCAGGACCTGTTGGAGGACCTCATTAGGCTCATTAATGACCTCATTGGAGGACCTCATTAAGCAGAGTCATTAGGCTCATTAGCGACCTGCCAGGACCTATTGGAGGACCTCATTGGAGGACCTCATTAAGCAGAGTCATTAGGCTCATTAGCGACCTGCCAGGACCTATTGGAGGACCTCATTGGAGGACCTCATTAAGCAGAGTCATTAGGCTCATTAGCGACCTGCCAGGACCTATTGGAGGACCTCATTAGGCTCATTAATGACCTCATTGGAGGACCTCATTAAGCAGAGTCATTAGGCTCATTAGCGACCTGCCAGGACCTATTGGAGGCCCTCATTAAGGTGATTTATTAGGCTCATTAGCGACCTGCCAGGACCTATTGGAGGACCTCACTGGAGGACCTCATTAGCCCCATTGGAGGACCTCATTAAGCAGAGTCATTAGGCTCATTAGTGACCTGCCAGGACCTATTGGAGGACCTCATTGGAGGACCTCATTAAACAGAGTCATTAGCGACCTGCCAGGACCTATTGGAGGACCTCATTAGGCTCATTAATGACCTCATTGGAGGACCTCATTAAGAGGAGTCATTAGGCTCATTAGTGACCTGCCAGGACCTATTGGAGGACCTCATTAGGCTCATTAATGACCTAATTGGAGGACCTCATTAAGCAGAGTCATTAGGCTCATTAGTGACCTGCCAGGACTATTTGGAGGACCTCATTAAGGTGATTTATTAGGCTCATTAGCGACCTGCCAGGACCTATTGGAGGACCTCATTGGAGGACCTCATTAAGCAGAGTCATTAGGCTCATTAGTGAGCTGCCAGGACCTGTTGGAGGACCTCATTAGGCTCATTAATGACTTAATTGGAGGACCTCATTAAGCGGAGTCATTAGGCTCATTAGCGACCTGCCAGGACCTATTGGAGGACCTCATTGGAGGACCTCATTAAGCAGAGTCATTAGGCTCATTAGCGACCTGCCAGGACCTATTGGAGGACCTCATTGGAGGACCTCATTAAACAGAGTCATTAGCGACCTGCCAGGACCTATTGGAGGACCTCATTGGAGGACCTCATTAAGCGGAGTCATTAGGCTCATTAGCCACCTGCCAGGACCTATTGGAGGACCTCATTGGAGGACCTCATTAAGCAGAGTCATTAGGCTCATTAGTGACCTGCCAGGACCTATTGGAGGACCTCATTAGGCTCATTAATGACCTCATTGGAGGACCTCATTAAGCAGACTCATTAGGCTCATTAGCGACCTGCCAGGACCTATTGGAGGACCTCATTAGGCTCATTAATGACCTAATTGGAGGACCTCATTAAATGGAGTCATTAGTGACCTGCCAGGACCTATTGGAGGACCTCATTGGAGGACCTCATTAGCCCCATTGGAGGACCTCATTAAGCAGAGTCATTAGGCTCATTAGCGACCTGCCAGGACCTATTGGAGGACCTCATTGGAGGATCTCATTAAGCAGAGTCATTAGGCTCATTAGCGACCTGCCAGGACCTACTGGAGGACCTCATTAAGGTGATTTATTAGGCTCATTAGCGACCTGCCAGGACCTATTGGAGGACCTCATTGGAGGACCTCATTAAGCAGAGTCATTAGGCTCATTAGCGACCTGCCAGGACCTATTGGAGGACCTCATTGGAGGACCTCATTAAGCGGAGTCATTAGGCTCATTAGCCACCTGCCAGGACCTATTGGAGGACCTCATTGGAGGACCTCATTAAGCAGAGTCATTAGGCTCATTAGTGACCTGCCAGGACCTATTGGAGGACCTCATTAGGCTCATTAATGACCTCATTGGAGGACCTCATTAAGCAGACTCATTAGGCTCATTAGCGACCTGCCAGGACCTATTGGAGGACCTCATTAGGCTCATTAATGACCTAATTGGAGGACCTCATTAAATGGAGTCATTAGTGACCTGCCAGGACCTATTGGAGGACCTCATTGGAGGACCTCATTAGCCCCATTGGAGGACCTCATTAAGCAGAGTCATTAGGCTCATTAGCGACCTGCCAGGACCTATTGGAGGACCTCATTGGAGGATCTCATTAAGCAGAGTCATTAGGCTCATTAGCGACCTGCCAGGACCTACTGGAGGACCTCATTAAGGTGATTTATTAGGCTCATTAGCGACCTGCCAGGACCTATTGGAGGACCTCATTGGAGGACCTCATTAAGCAGAGTCATTAGTGACCTGCCAGGACCTATTGGAGGACCTCATTAGGCTCATTAATGACCTCATTGGAGGACCTCATTAAGCGGAGTCATTAGGCTCATTAGCCACCTGCCAGGACCTATTGGAGGACCTCATTGGAGGACCTCATTAAGCAGAGTCATTAGGCTCATTAGTGACCTGCCAGGACCTATTGGAGGACCTCATTAGGCTCATTAATGACCTCATTGGAGGACCTCATTAAGCAGACTCATTAGGCTCATTAGCGACCTGCCAGGACCTATTGGAGGACCTCATTAGGCTCATTAATGACCTAATTGGAGGACCTCATTAAATGGAGTCATTAGTGACCTGCCAGGACCTATTGGAGGACCTCATTGGAGGACCTCATTAGCCCCATTGGAGGACCTCATTAAGCAGAGTCATTAGGCTCATTAGCGACCTGCCAGGACCTATTGGAGGACCTCATTGGAGGATCTCATTAAGCAGAGTCATTAGGCTCATTAGCGACCTGCCAGGACCTACTGGAGGACCTCATTAAGGTGATTTATTAGGCTCATTAGCGACCTGCCAGGACCTATTGGAGGACCTCATTGGAGGACCTCATTAAGCAGAGTCATTAGTGACCTGCCAGGACCTATTGGAGGACCTCATTAGGCTCATTAATGACCTCATTGGAGGACCTCATTAAGCAGAGTCATTAGGCTCATTAGCGACCTGCCAGGACCTATTGGAGGACCTCATTGGAGGACCTCATTAAGCAGATTCATTAGGCTCATTAGTGAGCTGCCAGGACCTATTGGAGGACCTCACTGGAGGACCTCATTAGCCCCATTGGAGGACCTCATTAAGCAGAGTCATTAGGCTCATTAGCGACCTGCCAGGACCTATTGGAGGCCCTCATTAAGGTGATTTATTAGGCTCATTAGCGACCTGCCAGGACCTATTGGAGGACCTCACTGGATGACCTCATTAGCCCCATTGGAGGACCTCATTAAGCAGAGTCATTAGGCTCATTAGCGACCTGCCAGGACCTATTGGAGGACCTCATTGGAGGACCTCATTAAACAGAGTCATTAGCGACCTGCCAGGACCTATTGGAGGACCTCATTAGGCTCATTAATGACCTCATTGGAGGACCTCATTAAACAGAGTCATTAGCGACCTGCCAGGACCTATTGGAGGACCTCATTGGAGGACCTCATTAGCCCTATTGGAGGACCTCATTAAGCAGAGTCATTAGGCTCATTAGTGAGCTGCCAGGACCTGTTGGAGGACCTCATTAAGGTGATTTATTAGGCTCATTAGCGACCTGCCAGGACCTATTGGAGGACCTCACTGGAGGACCTCATTAGCCCCATTGGAGGACCTCATTAAGCAGACTCATTAGGCTCATTAGCGACCTGCCAGGACCTATTGGAGGACCTCATTGGAGGACCTCATTAAACAGAGTCATTAGTGACCTGCCAGGACCTGTTGGAGGACCTCATTGGAGGACCTCATTAAGAGGAGTCATTAGGCTCATTAGTGACCTGCCAGGACCTATTGGAGGACCTCATTGGAGGACCTCATTAAACAGAGTCATTAGGCTCATTAGCGACCTGCCAGGACCTGTTGGAGGACCTCATTAGGCTCATTAATGACCTCATTGGAGGACCTCATTAAGCAGAGTCATTAGGCTCATTAGCGACCTGCCAGGACCTATTGGAGGACCTCATTGGAGGACCTCATTAAGCAGAGTCATTAGGCTCATTAGCGACCTGCCAGGACCTTATTGGAGGACCTCATTGGAGGACCTCATTAAACAGAGTCATTAGCGACCTGCCAGGACCTATTGGAGCACCTCATTAGGCTCATTAATGACCTCATTGGAGGACCTCATTAAGCAGACTCATTAGGCTCATTAGCGACCTGCCAGGACCCGTTGGAGGACTGGACGAGAAGCAATTAAAACCAAGCTTTAATTACATCTAACGAGGCGCTTCCTTGTTCCGTTTCCCTTCCAGGACCCGGCGCACTTCCGGTTAGGCCGCACCAAACTCTTCTTCCGGTCCTCCCAAGTCGCCTATTTAGAGAAGCTGCGGGCGGAGCGGCTCCTGGCGGCCGCCATTTTGATTCAGGCGACGTACAGGGGGTGGTTGCAGAGGCGGGACTTCCGGCGGAAGCGGCTGGCGGCCGCCATCTTGCAACGTCACATCCGGGGCTTTTTGGCGCGCAGGTGAGGCTGAGGGGGGAGGGGTTGAATGGGCGCTAATGAGGGGTCCTGGCAGCTGCATAATGAGGCTCATTAGGCTCTAATAATTGCTAATAATTAATGAAGGGTCCTGGCAGCTGCGTAATGAGGCTCATTAGGCTCTAATAATTGCCTCTAATTAATGCAGGGTCCTGGCAGCTGCATAATGAGGCTCATTAGCTTCTAATAATTGGCTCTAATTAATGCAGGGTCCTGGCAGCTGCATAATGAGGCTCATTAGGCTCTAATAATTGGCTCTAATTAATGCAGGGTCCTGGCAGCTGCATAATGAGGCTCATTAGAGTCTAATAATTGCTAATAATTAATGAGGCATCCTGGCAACTGCGTAATGTGGCTCATTAGGTTTTAATGAGGGGCTTTGATTAATGAGGGGTCCTGGCAGCTGCATAATGAGGCTCATTAGACTCTAATAATTGGCTAATAATTAATGAGGGGTCCTGGCAGCTGCGTAATGAGGCTCATTAGCCTCTAATAATTGGCTCTAATTAATGCAGGGTCCTGGCAGCTGCATAATGAGGCTCATTAGAGTCTAATAATTGCTAATAATTAATGAGGCATCCTGGCAACTGCGTAATGTGGCTCATTAGGTTTTAATGAGGGGCTTTGATTAATGAGGGGTCCTGGCAGCTGCATAATGAGGCTCATTAGACTCTAATAATTGGCTAATAATTAATGAGGGGTCCTGGCAGCTGCGTAATGAGGCTCATTAGCCTCTAATAATTGGCTCTAATTAATGCAGGGTCCTGGCAGCTGCGTAATGAGGCTCATTAGGTTTTAATAAGGGGCTTTGATTAATGAGGGGTCCTGGCAGCTGCATAATGAGGCTCATTAGGCTCTAATAATTGCTAATAATTAATGAAGGGTCCTGGCAGCTGCGTAATGAGGCTCATTAGGCTCTAATAATTGGCTCTAATTAACGCAGGGTCCTGGCAGATAGATAAAATAACTCCTAATAGGCACTTAATAGCACTCCTAATAGGCTCTAATTACAGCAGGGTCCTGGCAGCTGCATAATGAGGCTCATTAGCCTCTAATAATTGGCTCTAATTAATGCAGGGTCCTGGCAGCTGCGTAATGAGGCTCATTAGCCTCTAATAATTGCTAATAATTAATGCAGAGTCCTGGAAGCTGCGTAATGAGGCTCATTAGGCTCTAATAATTGCTAATAATTAATGAGGGGTTCTGGCAGCTGCATAATGAGGCTCATTAGCCTCTAATAATTGGCTCTAATTAATGAGGGGTTCTGGCAGCTGCATAATGAGGCTCATTAAGCTCTAATAATTGGCTCTAATTAATGCAGGGTCCTGGCAGCTGCATAATGAGGCTCATTAGCCTCTAATAATTGGCTCTAATTAATGCAGGGTCCTGGCAGCTGCATAATGAGGCTCATTAAGCTCTAATAATTGGCTCTAAATAATGCAGGGTCCCGGCAGCTGCATAATGAGGCTCATTAGACTCTAATAATTGCTAATAATTAATGAGGGGTACTGGCAGCTGCGTAATGAGGCTCATTAGACTCTAATAATTGCTAATAATTAATGAGGGGTCCTGGCAGCTGCATAATGAGGCTCATTAGGTTTTAATGAGGGGCTTTGATTAATGAGGGGTCCTGGCAGCTGCATAATGAGGCTCATTAGCCTCTAATAATTGGCTCTAATTAATGCAGGGTCCTGGCAGCTGCATAATGAGGCTCATTAGCCTCTAATAATTGCTAATAATTAATGAGGGGTCCTGGCAGCTGCGTAATGAGGCTCATTAGCCTCTAATAATTGGCTCTAATTAATGCAGGGTCCTGACAGCTGCATAATGAGGCTCATTAGCCTCTAATAATTGCTAATAATTAATGAGGGGTCCTGGCAGCTGCATAATGACGCTCATTAGGCTCTAATAATTGGCTCTAATTAATGCAGGGTCCTGGCAGCTGCGTAATGAGGCTCATTAGGTTTTAATGAGGGGCTTTCATTAATGAGGGGTCCTGGCAGCTGCATAATGAGGCTCGTTAGTCTCTAATAATTGGCTCTAATTAATGCAGGGTCCTGGCAGCTGCATAATGAGGCTCATTAGCCTCTAATAATTGGCTCTAATTAACGCAGGGTCCTGGTAGATAGATAAAATAGCCCCTAATAAGCACTTAATAGCACTCCTAATAGGCTCTAATTAGCGCAGTGTCCTGGCAGCTGCATAATGAGGCTCATTAGCCTCTAATAATTGCTAATAATTAATGCAGAGTCCTGGAAGCTGCGTAATGAGGCTCATTAGGCTCTAATAATTGCTAATAATTAATGAGGGGTTCTGGCAGCTGCATAATGAGGCTCATTAGCCTCTAATAATTGGCTCTAATTAATGAGGGGTTCTGGCAGCTGCATAATGAGGCTCATTAAGCTCTAATAATTGGCTCTAATTAATGCAGGGTCCTGGCAGCTGCATAATGAGGCTCATTAGCCTCTAATAATTGGCTCTAATTAATGCAGGGTCCTGGCAGCTGCATAATGAGGCTCATTAAGCTCTAATAATTGGCTCTAAATAATGCAGGGTCCCGGCAGCTGCATAATGAGGCTCATTAGACTCTAATAATTGCTAATAATTAATGAGGGGTACTGGCAGCTGCGTAATGAGGCTCATTAGACTCTAATAATTGCTAATAATTAATGAGGGGTCCTGGCAGCTGCATAATGAGGCTCATTAGGTTTTAATGAGGGGCTTTGATTAATGAGGGGTCCTGGCAGCTGCATAATGAGGCTCATTAGCCTCTAATAATTGGCTCTAATTAATGCAGGGTCCTGGCAGCTGCATAATGAGGCTCATTAGCCTCTAATAATTGCTAATAATTAATGAGGGGTCCTGGCAGCTGCGTAATGAGGCTCATTAGCCTCTAATAATTGGCTCTAATTAATGCAGGGTCCTGACAGCTGCATAATGAGGCTCATTAGCCTCTAATAATTGCTAATAATTAATGAGGGGTCCTGGCAGCTGCATAATGACGCTCATTAGGCTCTAATAATTGGCTCTAATTAATGCAGGGTCCTGGCAGCTGCGTAATGAGGCTCATTAGGTTTTAATGAGGGGCTTTCATTAATGAGGGGTCCTGGCAGCTGCATAATGAGGCTCGTTAGTCTCTAATAATTGGCTCTAATTAATGCAGGGTCCTGGCAGCTGCATAATGAGGCTCATTAGCCTCTAATAATTGGCTCTAATTAACGCAGGGTCCTGGTAGATAGATAAAATAGCCCCTAATAAGCACTTAATAGCACTCCTAATAGGCTCTAATTAGCGCAGTGTCCTGGCAGCTGCATAATGAGGCTCATTAGCCTCTAATAATTGCTAATAATTAATGCAGGGTACTGGCAGCTGCATAATGAGGCTCATTAGCCTCTAATAATTGCTAATAATTAATGCAGGGTCCTGGCAGCTGCATAATGAGGCTCATTAGCTTTTAATAATTGGCTCTAATTAACGCAGGGTCTTGGCATATAGATTAAAATAACCCCTAATAGGCTCTAATAGGTTCTCATTTATGTAGCTCATTAATTAACCACTCTAATAGCTTTTAATAACGAAACAAGGTAATGAATTCAGTCAATTAGGTCTCATTAATGATCGCTAATTAGCAATTAATTGGAGTTTTCTCACCCACCCCATTGAAATCAATGGCCGGGCCTCCTAAATCTCAGCCCTAATTAGCACAGCTCATTAATTAGCCTCTCTAATAACGACCCAAGGCAGGGAATCCACCCAATTAGCGTTGATTAGCGGCTAATTCATGGCTAATTAAGCTGCATTTCCTCCTCCTCAGGCGCTACCAGAAGCTGCGGGCGGCCGCCATTAAGATCCAGGCCTTCGTTAGGGGCGCCTTAATTAGGAGCAATTACCAACAGGTGAGGCTTCGTCAGCTCCTTAATTAACGAGCGCCGCGCAGCCCCATAGGAACCCATAGGACCCCATAGGACCCATAGGGACCCATAGGAACCCATAGGAACCCATAGGGACCCATAGGGACCCATAGGAACCCATAGGAACCCATAGGGACCCATAGGGACCCATAGGAACCCATAGGAACCCATAGGGACCCATAGGAACCCATAGGGACCCATAGGGACCCATAGGACCCCATAGGGACCCATAGGGACCCATAGGGACCCATAGGGACCCCATAGGACCCCATAGGAACCCATAGGGACCCATAGGACCCCATAAGACCCCATAAGACCCCATAGGGCCCCATAGAAACTCCATAGGGACCCATAGGGCCCCATAGGGACCCATAGGACCCCATAGCAACCCATAAGACCCCATAGGGACCCATAGGGACCCATAGGACCCCATAGGACCCCATAGGAACCCATAGGGACCCATAGGGACCCATAGGGACCCATAGGAAGCTATAGGGACCCATAGGGACCCATAGGACCCCATAGGAACCCATAGGGACCCATAGGGACCCATAGGAACCCATAGGGACCCATAAGGACCCATAGGAGCCCATAGGGACCCATAGGAACCCATAGGACCCCATAGGAACCCATAGGGACCCATAGGAACCCATAGGAACCCATAGGGACCCCATAGGACCCCATAGGACCCCACAGGACCCCATAGGGACCCATAGGGACCCATAGGACCCCATAGGACCCCATAGGAACCCATAGGGCCCCATAGAAACTCCATAGGGACCCATAGGGCCCCATAGGGACTCATAGGAACCCATAGGAACCCATAGGGACCCATAGGGACCCCATAGGACCCCATAGGAACCCATAGGGACCCATAGGACCCCATAAGACCCCATAAGACCCCATAGGGCCCCATAGAAACTCCATAGGGACCCATAGGGCCCCATAGGGACCCATAGGAGCCCATAAGACCCCATAGGACCCCATAGGGACCCATAGGGACCCATAGGAACCCATAGGGACCATAGGGACCCATAGGGACCCATAGAATCTCATAGGGCCCCATAAAAACTCTGTAGAATCCAATAGGATCCCATTGAAACCCCATAGAGCCCCATAGGAACCCCATAGAAATGCCATAGAACCCCATAGAGCCAAATAGGACCCCATAGAACTCAATAGGGCCCCATAGAAACCCCATAGGATCCCATAGAACCCAATAGAATCCTATAGAACCCCATAGGGCCCCATAAAAACCCCATAGAGCCCCATAGAACCCCATAGGGCCCCATAGGACCCAATAGGCCCCCATAGAACCCAATGGAGCCTTATAGAACCCCATAGGGCCCCATAAAAACCCCATAGAGCCCCATAGAACCCCATAGGGCCCTCTAGAACCCCATAGGCCCCCATAGGCCCCCATAGAACCCAATAGGCCCTCATAGAAACCAATAGGACCCCATTGAGCCCCATAGGGCCCCATAGAACCCAATAGAGTCCCATAGAACCCCATAGGACCCCATAAAAACCCCATAGGATCCCATAGAACCCACTAGGCCCCCATAGAACCCAACAGGCCCCCATAGAACCCAATAGGCCCCCATAGAACCCATTAGGCCCCATCGAAACCCCATAGAACCCCATAGGGCCCCATAGAACCCAATAGGGCCCCATAGAACCCAATAGGGCCCCTTAGAAACCCCATAGGATCCCATAGAACCGAATAGAGTCCCATAGAACCCCATAGGCCCCCATAGAACCCAATAAGGCCCCATAGAACCCCATAGAAACCCCATAGGGCCCAACAGAACCCCATAGAACCCAATAGGGCCCCACAGAACCCCATAGGATCCCATAGAACCCAATAGGCCCCCATAGAACCCCATAGAACCCAAAGGGCCCCACAGAACCCCATAGAACCCAATAGGCCCCCATAGGCCCCCATAGAACCCAATAGGCCCCATAGAACCCAATAGGCCCCATAGAACCCAATGGAGCCCCATAGAACCCCATAGGGCCCCAGAAAAACCCCATAGAGCCCCATAGAACCCCATAGGGCCCTTTAGAACCCCACAGGCCCCCATAGAACCCAATAGGCCCCCATAGAACCCAATAGGCCCCATAGAAACCCCATAGAACCCCATAGGGCCCCATAGAACCCAATAGGGCCCCTTAGAAACCCCATAGGATCCCATAGAACCGAATAGAGTCCCATAGAAGCCCATAGGCCCCCATAGAACCCCATAGGCCCCCGTAGAACCCCATATGGGCCCCATAGAACCCAATAGGACCCCATAGAACTCAATAGGCCCCCATAGAAACCCCATAGGACCCCATAGATCCCCATAGGGCCCCATAGAACCCCATAGAAATGCCACAGAACCCCATAGAACCAAATAGGACCCATAGAACTCAATAGGGCCCCATAAAAACCCCATAGGATCCCATAGAACCCAATAGGGTCCCATAGAACCCCATAGGCCCCCATAGAACCCCATAGGCCCCCATAGAACCCAATAGGCCCCATAGGCCCCCATGGAACCCAATAGGCCCCCATAGAACCCAATAGGACCCCATAGAAACCCCATAGAACCCAATAGGCCCCCATAGAACCCAATAGCACCCCATTGAACCCCATAGAAACCCCATAGAACCCAATAGGCCCCCATAGAACCCAATAGGACCCCATAGAAACCCCATAGCACCCAATAGGGCCCCACAGAGCCCCATAGAACCCTATAGGGCCCCACAGAACCCCATAGAACCCTATAGGCCCCCATAGACCCCCACAGGCCCCCATAGGCCCCCATAGGCCCCCATAGAACCCATTAGGGCCCCATAGAAACCCCATAGAACCCAATAGGGCCGCATAGAACCCCATAGAACCCAATCGGACCCCATAGAAACCCCATAGAACCCAATAGGCCCCCATAGAAACCCCATAGAACCCCATAGCACCTCATAGAACCAAATAGAGCCCCATAGAACCCCATAGGGCCCCACAGAACCCCATAGAACCCATAGAACCCAATAGGACCCCATAGAACCCAATAGGGTCCGATTGAACCCCATAGAACACCATAGAACCCCATAGGGCCCCATAGAACCCAATAGGGCCCCGCAGAACCCAATAGAACCCAATAGGACTCCATAGAACCCCATAGGGCCCCATAGAACCCCATAGAGCCCCATGGAACCCCATAGGACCCCATAAAAACCCCACAGTCACCCATAGAACCCCATAGGCCCCCATAGAACCCAATAGGCCCCATAGGCCCCCATAGAACCCCATAGGGCCCCACAGAACCCCACAGAACCCCATAGGGCCGCATAGAACCGAATAGGACCCCATAGAACCCTATAGGGCCCCATAGAAACCCCATAGAACCCAGTAGGCCCCCATAGGCCCCCATAGAACCCAATAGGGCCCCATAGAACCCAATGGGGCCCCATAGAACCCAATGGGGCCCCATAGAACCCCATAGCACCCCATAGAACCGAATACAGCGCCATAGGCCCCCATAGAACCCAATAGGACCCCATAGGCCCCCATAGAACCCAATAGGCCCCCATAGAACCCAATAGGCCCCCATAGAACCCAATAGGGCCCCATAGAAACCCCATAAAACCCCATAAGACCCCATAGGCCCCCATAGAACCCAACAGGCCCCCATAGAACCCAATAGGCCCCATAGGCCCCCATAGAACCCCATAGGCCCCCATAGAACCCAATAGAGCCCCATAGAACCCAATAGGCCCCAGAAAAACCCCATAGAGCCCCATAGAACCCCATAGGGCCCTTTAGAACCCCACAGGCCCCCATAGAACCCAATAGGCTCCCATAGGCCCCCATAGGGCCCGACAGAACCCCATAGAACCCAATAGGACCCCATAGAAACCCTATAAGACCCAATAGGACCCCATAGGCCCCCATACAACCTCATAGGACCCCACAGAACCCCATAGAACCCAATAGGGTCCCACAGAACCCCATAGGCCCCCATAGAACCCAATAGGACCCCATAGAACCCAATAGGCCCCACAGGCCCCCATAGAACCCAATAGGCCCCCATAGAACCCAATAGGCCCCCATAGGGCCCCATAGAACCCAACAGGCCCCTATAGGCCTCCATAGGCCCCCATAGAATCCAATAGCCCCCATAGGCCCCCATAAAACCCAATAGGCCCCCATAGAAACCCCATAGGCCCCCATAGAACCCAATAGGCCCCTGTAGGCCCCCATAGAACCCAATAGGCCCCTGTAGGCCCCCATAGAACCCAATAGGCCCCCATAACCCCTCCCCCCTTCCCGCCTTTTCCTCCCCCCGCCGCCATGTCGGCAGGCCCGGGCCGAGCGCAGCGCCGTCACCATTCAACGTCACTTCCGGGGTTTTGCGGCCCGTTTCCGGTACCGGCGCCTCCGCGCTGCCGCCATTACGTTGCAATGCTTCTACCGGCGGCGGGCGGCGCGGCGGCGCCTGGAGGAGCTGCGATCCCAGCGGGGATCGAAGGGCGGCGCCGAGCGGCTGGGAGCCGGCATGGAGCAGAAGGTGGTGCAGCTGCAGCGCAGGATCCACCAGCAGGTGGCGCTACCACGGCGGCGCCATGGGGGCCTATGGGGTCCTATGGGGTCCTGTGGGGTTTTATGGGGTTTTATGGGGTCTTATGGGGTTCTATGGGGTCTTATGGGGTTTTATGGGGTCCTATGGGGTCCTATGGGGTTTTATGGGGTTCTATGGGGTTTCTATGGGTTCCTATGGGGTCCTATGGGGTCCTATGGGGTTCTATGGGGTCCTATGGGGTTCTATGGGGTCCTATGGGGTTCTATGGGGTTTTATGGGGTTCTATGGGGTTCTATGGGGTACTATGGGGTTCTATGGGGTTTTATGGGGTCTTATGGGGTTCTATGGGGTTTCTGTGGGGTTCTATGGGGTTCTATGGGGGATTTATGGGGTCCTATGGGGTTTTGTGGGGTTTATGGGGTTCTATGGGGGATTTATGGGGTCCTATGGGGTCCTATGGGGTTCTATGGGGTTCTATGCGGTTTTATGGGGTCTTATGGGGTTCTATGGGGTCCTATGGGGTTCTATGGGGGATTTATGGGGTCCTATGGGGTTTTGTGGGGTTTTATGGGGTTCTATGGGGCATTTATGGGGCCTTAAGGGGGATTTATGGGGTTCTATGGGGTTCTATGGGGCCCTGTGGGCTCCTATGGGGTCCTATGGGGTCCTATGGGGTTCTATGGGGTTCTATGGGGTTTTATGGGGTCTTATGGGGTTTCTGTGGTGTTCTATGGGTCCCTATGGGGTTTCTATGGGGTTTTATGGGGTTCTATGGGGTTTCTATGGGGCCCTATTGGGTTTTATGGGGTTCTAAGGGGGATTTATGGGGCCTTATGGGGTTCTATGGGGTCCTATGGGGTTCTATGGGGGATTTATGGGGTCCTATGGGGTTTTATGGGGTCCTATGGGGGATTTATGGGGTTCTATGGGGTCCTATGGGGTTCTATGGGGGATTTATGGGATTCTATGGCGTTCTATGGGGTCCTATGGGGGATTTATGGGGCCTTATGGGGAATTTATGGGGTTCTATGGGGCCCTGTGGGGTCCTATGGGGTCCTATGGGGTTCTATGGGGTTCTATGGGGTTCTATGGGGTTCTATGGGGATCTATGGGGGATTTATGGGGTCCTATGGGGTCCTATGGGGTTCTAAGGGGGATTTATGGGGCCTTATGGGGTCCTATGGGGTTCTATGGGGCCCTGTGGGGTCCTATGGGGTCCTATGGGGTTCTATGGGGTTTTATGGGGTCCTATGTGGTTCTATGGGGTTCTATGGGGCCTTATGGGCTTCTATGCGGCCCTATGGGGTTCTATGGGGTTCTATGGGGTTTTATGGGGTCCTATGGGGTTCTATGGGATTCTAAGGGGTTCTATGGGGGATTTATGGAGCCTTATGGGGTCCTATGGGGTTCTATGGGGGATTTATGGGGTTCTATGGGGTTCTATGGGGGATTTATGGCGTCCTATGGGGTTCTATGGGGGATTTATCGGGTCCTTATGGGGTCCTATGGGGTCCTTATGGGGTCCTATGGGGTTCTGTGGGGTTTTATGGGGTCCTGTGGGGGATTTATGGGGTTCTATGGGGTCCTATTGGGTTCTATGGGGTTCTGTGGGGGATTTATGGGGCCTTATGGGGTCTTATGGGGTTCTATGGGGCCTTATGGGGTTCTGTGGGGTTTTATGGGGTTCTGTGGGGTTCTATGGGTCCCTATGGGGTTTCTATGGGGTTCTATGGGGGATTTATGGGGCCTTATGGGGTCCTATGGGATTCTATGGGGCCCTGTGGGGTCCTATGGGGTTCTGTGGGGTTTTATGGGGTTCTATGGGGTCCTATGGGGTTTTATGGGGTTCTATGGGGCCTTATGGGGTTCTGTGGGGTTTTCTGGGGTCCTATGGGGTTCTATGGGGGATTTATGGGGTTTTATGGGATTCAATGGGGTTCTATGTGGTTCTGTGGGGTCCTATGGGGTTCTATGGGGTTCTAGGGGGCCTTATGTGGTTCTATGGGGTGTTATGGGGTCCTATGGGGTTCTATGGAACCTTATGGGGTTCTATGGGGTTTCTGTGGGGTTCTATGGGGTTCTATGGGGGATTTATGGGGTCCTATGGGGTTTTGTGGGGTTTATGGGGTTCTATGGGGGATTTATGGGGTCTTATGGGGTTCTATGGGGTTTCTATGAGGTTCTATGGGGTTCTATGGGGTTCTATGGGGGATTTATGGGGCCTTATGGGGTCCTATGGGGTTCTATGGGGGATTTATGGGGTTCTATGGGGTTCTATGGGGTTCTATGGGGGATTTATGGCGTCCTATGGGGTTTCTATGAGGTTCTATGGGGTTCTATGGGGTTCTATGGGGGATTTATGGGGCCTTATGGGGTCCTATGGGGTTCTATGGGGGATTTATGGCGTCCTATGGGGTTCTATGGGGTTCTATGGGGGATTTATGGGGTTCTATGGGGTTCTATGGGGGATTTATGGGGTCTTATGGGGTCCTATGGGGTCCTATAGGGTTCTATGGGGACCTATGGGGCTCTAACTGGGATTTATGGGGTCCTTATGGGGTCCTATGGGGTCCTTATGGGGTCCTATGGGGTTCTGTGGGGTTTTATGGGGTCCTGTGGGGGATTTATGGGGTTCTATGGGGTCCTATTGGGTTCTATGGGGTTCTGTGGGGGATTTATGGGGCCTTATGGGGTCTTATGGGGTTCTATGGGGCCTTATGGGGTTCTGTGGGGTTTTATGGGGTTCTGTGGGGTTCTATGGGTCCCTATGGGGTTTCTATGGGGTTTCTATGGGGTTTTATGGGGTTCTATGGGGTTCTATGGGGGATTTATGGAGTTCTATGGGGTCCTATGGGGTTTTATGGGGTTCTATGGGGCCCTGTGGGGTCCTATGGGGTTCTGTGGGGTTCTATGGGGTCCTATTGGGTTCTATGGGGTTCTATGGGGCATTTATGGGGTTCTATGGGGGATTTATGAGGTCCTATGGGGTCCTATGGGGTTCTATGGGGCCTTATGGGGTCCTGTGGGGTTCTATGGGGGATTTATGGGGTTCTATGGGGTTCTATGGGGGATTTATGGGGTTCTATGTGATTCTATCGGGTCCTATGGGGTCCTATTGGGTTCTATGGGGACCTATGGGGCTCTAAGGGGGATTTATGGGGTCCTTATGGGGTTCTGTGGGGTTTTATGGGGTCCTATGGGGTCTTATGGGGTTCTATGGGGTCCTATGGGGTCCTATGTGGTCCTATGGGCTTCTATAGGGCCTTATGGGGTTCTGTGGGGTTCTATGGGGTTTTATGGGGTTCTATGGGGTCCTATTGGGTTCTATGGGGCCTTATGGGGTTCTATGGGGTTCTGTGGGGTTCTATGGGGGTTTTATGGGGTTCTATGGGGTTCTATGTGGTCCTGTTTGGCCTTATGGGGTTCTATGGGGTTTTATGGGGTCCTATGGGGGATTTATGGGGTCCTGTGGGGTCCTATGGGGTCCTATTGGGTTCTATGGGGCTCTATTGGGGTTCTGTGGGGTTTTATGGGGCCTTATGGGGTCCTATGTGGTGCTCTGGGGTTCTATGGGGGATTTATGGGGCCTTATGGGGTCCTATGGGGTTCTATGGGGTTTCTATGGGGTTCTATGGGGTCCTATGGGGTTCTATGGGGCCTTATGGGGTCCTATGGGGTTCTATGGGGGATTTATGGAGTCCTATGGGGTTCTATGGGGGATTTATGGGGCCTTATGGGGGATTTATGGGGTTCTATGGGGCCCTGGGGGGTCCTATGGGGTTCTGTGGGGTTCTATGGGGTCCTATGGGGTTCTATGGGGTTTTATGGGGTCCTATGGGGTCCTATGGGGTTTTATGGGGTCCTATGGGGTTTTATGGGGTTCTATGGGGCCTTATGGGGTTCTGTGGGGTTTTATGGGGTCCTATGGGGTTCTAAGGGGTTCTATGGGGTTCTATGGGGGATTTATGGGGCCTTATGGGGGATTTATGGGGTTCTATGGGGCCCTGTGGGGTCCTATGGGGTCCTATGGGGTCCTATGGGGTTCTATGGGGTTTTATGGGGTCTTATGGGGTTCTATGGGGTCCTATGGGGTCCTATGGGGTCCTATGGGGTTCTATGGGGTTCTATGGGGTTTTATGGGGTTCTATGGGGGATTTATGGGGTCCGATGGGGTTCTGTGGGGTCCTATGGGATTCAATGGGGTTCTATGGGGGATTTATGGGGTCCTATGGGGTTTTGTGGGGTCCTATGGGGTTCTATGGGGCATTTATGGGGCCTTATGGGGTCCTATGGGGTCCTATGGGGTTCTATGGGGGATTTATGGGGTCTTATGGGGTTCTATTGGGTTCTATGGGGTTTCTATGGGGTTCTATGGGGGATTTAGGTGGTTCTATGGGGTACTATGGGGCCTTATGGGGTTCTGTGGGGTTTTATGGGGTCCTATGGGGTTCTATGGGGGATTTATGGGGTTCTATGGGGTTTTATGGGGTTCTATGGGGTTCTATGGGGTTCTGTGGGGTTTTATGGGGTCTTATGGGGTCCTATGGGGTTCTATGGGGGATTTATGGGGCCTTATGGGGGATTTATGGGGTTCTATGGGGTTCTATGGGGGATTTATGGGGCCTTATGGGGTCCTATGGGGTTCTATGGGGCCTTATGGGGTTCTGTGGGGTTCTATGGGTCCCTATGGGGTCCTATGGGGTTCTATGGGGCCTTATGGGGTTCTGTGGGGTTCTATGGGGTCCTATGGGGTCCTATGGGGTCCTATTGGGTTCTATGGGGTTCTATGGGGTTCTATGGGGTCCTATTGGGTTCTATTGGGTTCTATGGGGTTCTATGGGGTCCTATGGGGTCCTATGGGGGATTTATGGGGTCCTGTGGGGTCCTATGGGGTTCTGTGGGGTTCTATGGGAGATTTATGGGGTTCTGTGGGGTTTCTATGGGGTTTTATGGGGTCCTTATGGGGACCTATGGGGTCCTATGGGGTTCTATGGGGGATTTATGGGGTTCTATGGGGTTCTATGGGGTTCCTATGGGGTCCTATGGGGTTCTATGGGGTTCCTATGGGGTCCTATGGGGTTCTATGGGGTCCTATGGGGTTCTATGGGGTTCCTATGGGGTCTTATGGGGTTCTATGGGGTTCTATGGGGGATTTATGGGGCCTTATGGGGTCCTATGGGGTTCTATGGGGTTCTATGGGGGATTTATGGGGTTCTATGGGGTTCCTATGGGGTCCTGTTGGGTTCTATGGGGTACTATGGGGGTTTTATGGGGTCTTATGGGGTTCTATGGGGATCTATGGGGGATTTATGGGGTCCTATGGGGTTTTGTGGGGTTTATGGAGTTCTATGGGGGATTTATGAGGCCTTATGGGGGATTTATGGGGTTCTATGGGGGATTTATGGGGTTCTATGGGGCCCTGTGGGGTCCTATGGGGTCCTATGGGGTTCTATGGGGGATTTATGGGGGCTTATGGGGTTCTGTGGGGTTCTATGGGGGATTTATGGGGTTCTATGGGGTTCTATGGGGTCCTATGGGGTTCTATGGGGCCTTATGGGGTTCTATGGGGTTCTATGGGATCGTATGGGGTCCTATGGTGTCTTATGGGGTCCTGTGGGGTCTTATTGTATTCTATGGGGTTCTGTGGGGTTTTATGGGGTCTTATGGGGCCTTTTGGGTGTCCTATGTGATCTTATTGTTTTCTATGGGATTTTATGGGATCTTATGGGGTCTTATGGGGTCCTATCGGGTCTTACAGGTTCTTATGGGGTCCTATGGGGTCCTATGGGGTCTTATGGTGTTTTATGGGGTCCTATGGGGTCCTATGGGGTCTTATGTGGTCCTATAGGGTGTATGGGGTCTTATGCGGTCTTATGGGGTCTTATGGGATCTTATAGGGTGTTATGGGGTCTTATGGGGTCCTGTGGGGTGCTGTGGGGTCTTATTGTGTTCTGTGGGGTCTTATGGGGTCTTATTTTGTTCTATGGGTTTTTATGGGGTCTTATAGGGTCTTATAGGGTTTTAAGGGGTCTTATGGGGTTTTTTCGGGTCCTATGGGGTCTTATGGGGTCTTATGGGGTCTTTTGGGGTCCTATGGGGTCCTATGGGGTTTTATGGGGTCTTAAAGGGTCTTATAGGGTGCTATGGGGTCCTATGGGGTTTTATGGGCTCTATGGGGTCTTATGGGGTTCTATGGGGTTCTATGGGGTTCTATGGGGTCCTATGGGGTCTGATGGGGTCTTATGGGGTCCTATGGGGTTTTATGGGGTCTTATGGGTTCCTATGGGGTGGTATGGGGTCCTATGGGCTTCTATGGGGTTTTATGGGGTCCTATGGTGTCCTATGGGGTATTATGGGGTTTTATGGGGTTCTATGGGGTCTTATGGGGTCTTATGGGGTCCTATGGGGTCTTGGGGGTCCTATGGGGTCTTATGGTGTCTTATGGGGTCTTATGGGGTCTTATGGGGTCCTATGGGGTCCTATGGGGTCTTATGGTGTTTTATGGGGTCTTATGGGTTCCTATAGGGTCCTATGGGGCCCTATGGGGCTTTGTGGCCGCTGTGTCCTTATGGGGTCTCTTATGGGGTTTCAGGAGCGATCCCATAAAGCCCTACAGGACGAGGTGGCCGGGCTGCAGAAGGAACTTCGGGATCGGGAACGGGATGAAGAGCGGCGCCTCAAAACCCTACAAGAGGAAATGGGGCGCCTGCGCAAGGTGTGGGGGGCTGCGACCCCATAAGGACCCCATAAGAAATCCTATAGGGAGCGGCGACCCCATAAAGCCAGCCTGGACCCTATAAAGGCAATGGTGACCCTATAAACCCATCCAATGCAACCCTGACCCTATAAAGCCAACCTTGACCCCATAACCCCAACCTTGGCCCTATAAACCCATCCATGACCCCATAACCCCAACCTTGACCCCATATCCCCAACCTTGACCCCATAAACTCAACCTTGGCCCTATAAAGCCAACCTTGACCCTATAAACCCAACCTTGACCCCATAACCCCAACCTTGACCCCATAAACCCAGCATTGACCCCATAAACCCAACCTTGGCCCTATAACCCCAACCTTGACCCCATAACCCCAACCTTGACCCCATAACCCCAACCTTGACCCCATAAACCCAACCTTGACCCTATAAAGCCAACCTTGACCCTATAAACCCATCCAATGCAACCCTGACCCTATAAAGCCAACCTTGACCCCATAACCCCAACCTTGGCCCTATAAACCCGTCCATGACCCCATAACCCCAACCTTGATCCTATAAAGCCAACCTTGACCCTATAAACCCAACCTTGACCCTATAACCCCAACCTTGACCCCATAAACCCAATGTTGACCCCATAAAGCCATCCCTGACCCTATAAAGCCAACCTTGACCCTATAAACCCATCCATGACCCCATAAACCCATCCATGACCCCATAAGGACAACCTTGACCCTATAAAGCCAACCGCGACCCTATAAACCCATCCAACCCATCCCTGACCCCATAAACCCAACCTTGACCCCATAAACCCAACCTTGGCCCTATAAACTCAACCTTGACCCCATAAACCCAACCTTGACCCTATAAACCCATCCAACCCATCCCTGACCCTATAAAGCCAACCTTGATCCTATAAACCCAACCTTGACCCCATAAACCCAACCTTGACCCTATAAAGCCAACCTTGACCCTATAAACCCAACCTTGACCCCATAAACCCAGCATTGACCCTATAACCCCATCCCTGACCCTATAAAGCCAACCTTGACCCTATAAACCCATCCAATGCATCCCTGACCCTATAAAGCCAACCTTGACCCCATAAAGCCATCCCTGACCCCATAAACCCAACCTTGACCCTATAAACCCAACCTTGACCCCATAACCCCATCCTTGACCCTATAAAGCCAACCTTGACCCTATAAACCCATCCCTGACCCTATAAACCCAACCTTGACCCCATAAACCCAACCTTGACCCCATAAAACCAACCTTGGCCCTATAAACCCATCCATGACCCCAAAACCCCAACCTTGACCCTATAAACCAAAGCTTGACCCCATAAAGCCAACCTTGATCCCATAAACCCAACCTTGACCCTATAAACCCAACCTTGACCCTATAAACCCAACCTTGACCCTATAAACCCAACCTTGACCCCATAAACCCAACCTTGACCCTATAAACCCAACCTTGGCCCTATAAACCCAACCTTGACCCTATAAACCCAACCTTGACCCTATAAACCCAACCTTGACCCTATAAAGCCAACCTTGGCCCTATAAACCCAACCTTGGCCCTATAAACCCAACCTTGGCCCTATAAACTCAACTGTGACCCCATAACCCCAACCTTGACCCCATAAAGCCAACCTTGACCCCATAAAGCCAACCTTGACCCTATAAACCCAACCTTGACCCTATAAACTCATCCCTGACCCCATAAACCCAACCTTGACCCCATAACCCCAACCTTGACCCTATAAACCCTATAAGCTGCTCCTGACCCCATAAGCTGGCCCCATAAGTGTGGGGCGGCCCCATAAGGCGGCCATCTTGGCCTCATAAGCTGACCCCATAAGCTGACCCCATAAGTGTGGGGCAGCCCCATAAGTGTGGGGCGGCCCCATAAGTGTGGGGCGGCCCCATAAGGCGGCCATCTTGGTTCCCATAAACTGACCCCATAAGCTGACCCCATAAGCTGACCCTATAAGCTGACCCTATAGGCTGACCCCATAAGTCCCCCCGGCCCCATAAGTGTGGGGCGGCCCCATAAGTGTGGGGCGGCCCCATAAGGCGGCCATCTTGGTTCCCATAAGCTGATCCCATAAGCTGACCCCATAAACTGACCCTATAAGCTGACCCTATAGGCTGACCCCATAAGCTGGCCCCATAAGTGTGGGGCGGCCCCATAAGTGTGGGGCGGCCCCATAAGTGTGGGGCGGCCCCATAAGGCGGCCATCTTGGCCCCATAAGCTGACCCCATAAGCTGACCCCATAAGCTGACCCTATAAGCCCCCCCGGCCCCATAAGTGTGGGGCGGCCCCATAAGTGTGGGGTGGCCCCATAAGTGTGGGGCGGCCCCATAAGTGTGGGGCGGCCCCATAAGGCGGCCATCTTGGCTCCCATAAGCTGACCCCATAAGCTGACCCCATAAGCTGACCCTACAAGCTGACCCTATAAGCTGACCCTATAGGCTGACCCCATAAGTCCCCCCGGCCCCATAAGTGTGGGGCGGCCCCATAAGGCGGCCATCTTGGTTCCCATAAGCTGATCCCATAAGCTGACCCCATAAACTGACCCTATAAGCTGACCCTATAGGCTGACCCCATAAGCTGGCCCCATAAGTGTGGGGCGGCCCCACAAGTGTGGGGCGGCCCCATAAGTGTGGGGCGGCCCCATAAGGCGGCCATCTTGGCCCCATAAGCTGACCCCATAAGCTGACCCTATAAGCTGACCCCATAGGCCGGCCCCATAAGCTGACCCCATAAGTGTGGGGCGGCCCCATAAGTGTGGGGCGGCCCCATAAGGCGGCCATCTTGGCCCCATAAGCTGACCCCATAAGCTGACCCCATAAGTCCCCCCGGCCCCATAAGTGTGGGGCGGCCCCATAAGTGTGGGGCGGCCCCATAAGGCGGCCATCTTGGCCCCATAAGCTGACCCCATAAGCTGACCCTATAAACTGACCCTATAAGCTGACCCTATAAGCTGACCCTATAAGCCCCCCCGGCCCCATAAGTGTGGGGCGGCCCCATAAGTGTGGGGCGGCCCCATAAGGCGGCCATCTTGGTTCCCATAAGCTGACCCCATAAGCTGACCCCATAAGTTGACCCTATAGGCTGACCCCATAAGCTGACCCTATAAGCCGGCCCCATAAGTGTGGGGCGGCCCCATAAGGCGGCCATCTTGGTTCCCATAAGCTGACCCCATAAGCTGACCCCATAAGCTGACCCCATAAGCTGACCCTATAGGCTGACCCCATAAGTCCCCCCGGCCCCATAAGTGTGGGGCAGCCCCATAAGTGTGGGGCGGCCCCATAAGTGTGGGGCGGCCCCATAAGGCGGCCATCTTGGTTCCCATAAGCGGGCGCAGGAGCTGCAGGAGGAGAACGAGGGCCTGAAGAGGGAGCTGCAAATGGCGGCAGGTAGGGGGCGCTTATGGGGTTATGGGGGGTTATGGGGTCGCTTATGGGGTTATGGGGTCGCTTATGGGGTTATGGGGTCGCTTATGGGGTTATGGGGTCGCTTATGGGGTTATGGGGTCGCTTATGGGGTTATGGGGTCAGGTATGGGGTTATGGGGTCGGTTATGGGGTTATGGGGTCGGTTATGGGGTTATGGGGTCAGGTATGGGGTTATGGGGTCAGGTATGGGGTTATGGGGTCACTTATGGGGTTATGGGGTCGGTTATGGGGTTATGGGGTCAGTTATGGGGTTATGGGGTCAGGTATGGGGTTATGGGGTCGGTTATGGGGTTATGGGGTCAGGTATGGGGTTATGGGGTCGGTTATGGGGTTATGGGGTCAGGTATGGGGTTATGGGGTCGGTTATGGGGTTATGGGGTCAGGTATGGGGTTATGGGGTCGGTTATGGGGTTATGGGGTCACTTATAGGGTCAGGTATGGGGTTATGGGGTCGGTTATGGGGTTATGGGGTCGCTTATGGGGTTATGGGGTCGGTTATGGGGTCAGATATGGGGTTATGGGGTCACTTATGGGGTTATGGGGTCAGTTATGGGGTCAGTTATAGGGTTATGGGGTTATGGGGTCACTTATAGGGTCAGGTATGGGGTTATGGGGTCGCTTATGGGGTTATGGGGTTATAGGGTCGGTTATAGGGTCGGATATGGGGTCAGGGGGTTATAGGGTCACTTATGGGGTCGCTTATGGGGTTATGGGGTCGGTTATGGGGTTATGGGGTCGGTTATGGGGTTATGGGGTCGCTTATGGGGTCAGGGGGGTTATGGGGTCGCTTATGGGGTCGCTTATGGGGTTATGGGGTCACTTATAGGGTCAGGTATGGGGTTATGGGGTCGGTTATGGGGTTATGGGGTCGCTTATGGGGTTATGGGGTCACTTATGGGGTTATGGGGTCACTTATGGGGTTATGGGGTCGGTTATGGGGTTATGGGGTCAGGTATGGGGTTATGGGGTCACTTATGGGGTTATGGGGTCACTTATAGGGTCAGGTATGGGGTTATGGGGTTATGGGGTCAGGTATGGGGTTATGGGGTCGGTTATGGGGTTATGGGGTCACTTATGGGGTTATGGGGTCACTTATGGGATTATGGGGTTATGGGGTCACTTATGGGGTCAGGGGGGTTATGGGGTCACTTATGGGGTTATGGGGTCACTTATGGGGTCGGTTATGGGGTTATGGGGTCAGTTATAGGGTCAGGTATGGGGTCAGGTATGGGGTTATGGGGTTATGGGGTCAGTTATGGGGTTATGGGGTTATGGGGTCGGTTATGGGGTTATGGGGTCACTTATGGGGTCGGTTATGGGGTTATGGGGTCACTTATGGGGTTATGGGGTCACTTATAGGGTCAGGTATGGGGTTATGGGGTTATGGGGTCACTTATAGGGTTATGGGGTTATGGGGTCACTTATGGGGTCAGGCATGGGGTTATGGGGTCACTTATAGGGTCAGGTATGGGGTTATGGGGTCGGTTATGGGGTCACTTATAGGGTTATGGGGTTATAGGGTCGGTTATGGGGTCAGATATGGGGTTATGGGGTCACTTATGGGGTCAGGGGGGTTATGGGGTCAGGTATGGGGTTATGGGGGCGCTTATGGGGTCAGATATGGGGTTATGGGGTTGGTTATGGGGTTATGGGGTCGGTTATGGGGTTATGGGGTCACCTATGGGGTTGGTTATGGGGTTATGGGGTCGGTTATGGGGTTATGGGGTTATGGGGTCACTTATAGGTTCATGTATGGGGTTATGGGGTTATGGGGTCAGTTATAGGGTCAGGGGGTTATAGGGTCGGGTATGGGGTTATGGGGTCACTTATAGGGTTATGGGGTTATGGGGTCACTTATGGGGTCAGGTATGGGGTTATGGGGTCGCTTATGGGGTTATGGGGTTATAGGGTCGGTTATAGGGTCGGATATGGGGTCAGGGGGTTATAGGGTCACTTATGGGGTCGCTTATGGGGTTATGAAGTCAGTTATGGGGTTATGGGGTCGGTTATGGGGTTATGGGGTCAGTTATGGGGTTATGGGGTCACTTATGGGGTCGCTTATGGGGTTATGGGGTCGGTTATGGGGTTATGGGGTCACTTATAGGGTCAGGGGGGTTATAGGGTCAGGTATGGGGTTATGGGGTCACTTATGGGGTTATGGGGTCACTTATAGGGTCAGGTATGGGGTTATGGGGTTATGGGGTCACTTATGGGGTTATGGGGTCGCTTATGGGGTTATGGGGTCACTTATGGGGTTATGGGGTCGCTTATGGGGTTATGGGGTCACTTATGGGGTTATGGGGTCGCTTATGGGGTTATGGGGTCAGGTATGGGGTTATGGGGTCAGGTATGGGGTTATGGGGTCACTTATGGGGTTATGGGGTCACTTATAGGGTCAGGTATGGGGTTATGGGGTTATGGGGTCGGTTATGGGGTTATGGGGTCCGTTATGGGGTCAGGTATGGGGTTATGGGGTCACTTATGGGGTTATGGGGTCGGTTATGGGGTTATGGGGTCAGGTATGGGGTTATGGGGTCAGGTATGGGGTTATGGGGTCAGGTATGGGGTTATGGGGTCACTTATGGGGTTATGGGGTCACTTATAGGGTCAGGTATGGGGTTATGGGGTTATGGGGTCGGTTATGGGGTTATGGGGTCAGTTATGGGGTTATGGGGTCACTTATGGGGTCATGGGGTCACTTATGGGGTCACTTATGGGGTTATGGGGTCAGGTATGGGGTTATGGGGTCAATTATGGGGTTATGGGGTCAGGTATGGGGTTATGGGGTCAGGTATGGGGTTATGGGGTCACTTATGGGGTTATGGGGTCGCTTATGGGGTTATGGGGTCAGGTATGGGGTTATGGGGTCGGTTATGGGGTTATGGGGTCGGTTATGGGGTTATGGGGTCGGTTATGGGGTTATGGGGTCGCTTATAGGGTCAGGTATGGGGTTATGGGGTCGCTTATGGGGTTATGGGGTTATAGGGTCGGTTATAGGGTCGGATATGGGGTCAGGGGGTTATAGGGTCACTTATGGGGCTGCTTATGGGGTTATGGGGTCAGTTATGGGGTCAGGTATGGGGTTATGGGGTCAGGTATGGGGTTATGGGGTCAGGTATGGGGTTATGGGGTCGGTTATGGGGTTATGGGGTCGGTTATGGGGTTATGGGGTCAGGTATGGGGTTATGGGGTCAGGTATGGGGTTATGGGGTCAGTTATGGGGTTATGGGGTCAGGTATGGGGTTATGGGGTCAGGTATGGGGTTATGGGGTCAGGTATGGGGTTATGGGGTCACTTATGGGGTTATGGGGTCAGGTATGGGGTTATGGGGTCGGTTATGGGGTTATGGGGTCACTTATGGGGTTATGGGGTCACTTATGGGGTTATGGGGTCACTTATGGGGTTATGGGGTCAGTTATGGGGTTATGGGGGCGCTTATGGGGTCAGATATGGGGTTATGGGGTCGGTTATGGGGTTATAGGGTTATGGGGTCACTTATAGGGTCGGTTATGGGGTTATGGGGTCACTTATGGGGTTATGGGGTCAGGTATGGGGTTATGGCGTCAGGTATGGGGTTATGGGGTCGGGTATGGGGTTATGGGGTCTGGTATGGGGTTATGGGGTCTGGTATGGGGTTATGGGGTCGCTTATGGGGTTATGGGGTCAGGTATGGGGTTATGGGGTCGGTTATGGGGTTATGGGGTCACTTATGGGGTTATGGGGTCACTTATAGGGTCAGATATGGGGTTATGGGGTTATGGGGTCACTTATGGGGTTATGGGGTCAATTATAGGGTCAGATATGGGGTTATGGGGTTATGGGGTCACTTATGGGGTTATGGGGGCACTTATGGGGTTATGGGGTCGCTTATAGGGTCAGGTATGGGGTTATGGGGTCAGGTATGGGGTTATGGGGTCAGGTATGGGGTTATGGGGTCAGTTATAGGGTTATGGGGTCAGGTATGGGGTTATGGGGTCGGTTATGGGGTTATGGGGTCAGGTATGGGGTTATGGGGTCGGTTATGGGGTTATGGGGTCAGGTATGGGGTTATGGGGTCAGGTATGGGGTTATGGGGTCGGTTATGGGGTTATGGGGTCGCTTATGGGGTCGCTTATGGGGTTATGGGGTCAGGTATGGGGTTATGGGGTTATGGGGTCACTTATGGGGTTATGGGGTCACTTATGGGGTTATGGGGTCAGGTATGGGGTTATGGGGTCGGTTATGGGGTTATGGGGTCGGTTATGGGGTTATGGGGTCACTTATGGGGTTATGGGGTCAGGTATGGGGTTATGGGGTCACTTATGGGGTTATGGGGTTATGGGGTCACTTATAGGGTCAGGTATGGGGTTATGGGGTTATGGGGTCAGTTATGGGGTTATGGGGTCGGTTATGGGGTTATGGGGTCAGGTATGGGGTTATGGGGTCACTTATGGGGTCACTTATGGGGTTATGGGGTCGGTTATGGGGTTATGGGGTCAGGTATGGGGTTATGGGGTCAGTTATGGGGTTATGGGGTCAGGTATGGGGTTATGGGGTCAGGTATGGGGTTATGGGGTCGGTTATGGGGTTATGGGGTCAGGTATGGGGTTATGGGGTCAGGTATGGGGTTATGGGTCCGGTTATGGGGTTATGGGGTCACTTATGGGGTCAGGTATGGGGTTATGGGGTCAGGTATGGGGTTATGGGGTCGCTTATGGGGTTATGGGGTCGCTTATGGGGTTATGGGGTCAGGTATGGGGTTATGGGGTCGGTTATGGGGTCAGGTATGGGGTTATGGGGTCAGGTATGGGGTTATGGGGTCACTTATGGGGTTATGGGGTCGGTTATGGGGTTATGGGGTCGGTTATGGGGTTATGGGGTCAGGTATGGGGTTATGGGGTCGGTTATGGGGTTATGGGGTCGGTTATTGGGTTATGGGGTCACTTATGGGGTTATGGGGTCGGTTATGGGGTTATGGGGTCACTTATAGGGTCAGATATGGGGTTATGGGGTCACTTATGGGGTTATGGGGTCAGATATGGGGTTATGGGGTCACTTATAGGGTTATGGGGTTATGGGGTCGCTTATAGGGTCAGGTATGGGGTTATGGGGTCACTTATGGGGTTATGGGGTCAGGTATGGGGTTATGGGGTCACTTATGGGGTTATGGGGTTATAGGGTCGGTTATGGGGTCAGGGGGTTATAGGGTCACTTATGGGGTCAGGTATGGGGTTATGGGGTCAGTTATGGGGTTATGGGGTCACTTATGGGGTCAGATATGGGGTTATGGGGTTATGGGGTCACTTATGGGGTTATGGGGTCACTTATGGGGTCAGGTATGGGGTTATGGGGTCAGGTATGGGGTTATGGGGTCAGGTATGGGGTTATGGGGTCAGGTATGGGGTTATGGGGTCACTTATGGGGTTATGGGGTCAGGTATGGGGTTATGGGGTCACTTATGGGGTCAGATATGGGGTTATGGGGTTATGGGGTCACTTATGGGGTTATGGGGTCGGTTATGGGGTCAGTTATAGGGTTATGGGGTTATGGGGTCGCTTATAGGGTCAGGTATGGGGTTATGGGGTTATGGGGTCACTTATGGGGTTATGGGGTCACTTATGGGGTCGGTTATGGGGTTATGGGGTCACTTATGGGGTTATGGGGTCGGTTATAGGGTCAGGTATGGGGTTATGGGGTCGCTTATGGGGTTATGGGGTCGGTTATGGGGTTATGGGGTCGGTTATGGGGTTATGGGGTCAGGTATGGGGTTATGGGGTCACTTATGGGGTTATGGGGTCAGTTATGGGGTTATGGGGTCACTTATGGGGTTATGGGGTCGGTTATGGGGTTATAGGGTCAGGTATGGGGTTTTGGGGTCACTTATTGGGTTATGGGGTCAGGTATGGGGTTATGGGGTCAGTTATGGGGTTATGGGGTCAGGTATGGGGTTATGGGGTCACTTATGGGGTTATGGGGTCACTTATGGGGTTATGGGGTCGGTTATGGGGTTATGGGGTCAGGTATGGGGTTATGGGGTCAGGTATGGGGTTATGGGGTCACTTATGGGGTTATGGGGTCACTTATGGGGTTATGGGGTCAGGTATGGGGTTATGGGGTCAGTTATGGGGTTATGGGGTCAGGTATGGGGTTATGGGGTCACTTATGGGGTTATGGGGTCACTTATGGGGTTATGGGGTCGGTTATGGGGTTATGGGGTCAGGTATGGGGTTATGGGGTCAGGTATGGGGTTATGGGGTCACTTATGGGGTTATGGGGTCAGGTATGGGGTTATGGGGTCAGGTATGGGGTTATGGGGTCAGGTATGGGGTCAGGTATGGGGTTATGGGGTCGCTTATGGGGTCAGATATGGGGTTATGGGGTCACTTATGGGGTTATGGGGTCAGTTATGGGGTCAGTTATAGGGTTATGGGGTTATGGGGTCGCTTATAGGGTCAGGTATGGGGTTATGGGGTTATGGGGTCGGTTATGGGGTTATGGGGTCGGTTATGGGGTTATGGGGTCAGGTATGGGGTCAGATATGGGGTTATGGGGTTATGGGGTCGCTTATGGGGTCGCTTATGGGGTTATGGGGTCGCTTATAGGGTCAGGTATGGGGTTATGGGGTCGCTTATGGGGTTATGGGGTTATGGGGTCGGTTATAGGGTCGGATATGGGGTCAGGGGGTTATAGGGTCACTTACAGGGTCGCTTATGGGGTTATGGGGTCGGTTATGGGGTTGTGGGGTCCTATGGGGCCTTATAGGGGATTTGTGGGGTGGTGACCCCATAAGTGTGGGGTTTCCTGCCCCCCTTTGACCCCATAGGGGCGACCAAGGATGGAGAGCAGAACCTCGTTAAGGTAATGAGCGCTAATGAGCGGAGCACGGGATTGTGGGTAATATGGAGTCCTATGGGGTCCTATGGGGTCCTATGGGGTCCTATGGGGTTCTATGGGGTCTTATGGGGTTCTATGGGGTCTTATGGGGTCTTATGGGGTTTTATGGGGTCTTATGGGGTCCTATGGGGTCTTATGGGGTCTTATGTGGTCCTATGGGGTCCTATGGGGTCCTATGGGGTCTTATGGGGTCTTATGGGTTCCTATGGGGTCTATGGGGTCTATGGGGTCCTATGGGGTCTTATGGGGTCCTATGGGGTCTTATGGGGTCCTATGGGGTCCTATGGGGTCTTATGGGGTCTTATGGGGTCTTATGGGGTCCTATGGGGTCTTATGGGGTCCTATGGGGTCTTATGGGATCTTATGGGGTCCTATGGGCTCCTATGGGGTCTCATGGGGTCCTATGGGGTCTTATGGGGTCTGATGGGGTCCTATGGGGCTCTGTGGGGTCTTATGGGCTCCTATGGGGTCCTATGGGGTCCTATGGGGTCCTATGGGGTCTTATGGGGTCTTATGGGGTCCTATGGGGTCCTATGGGGTCCTATGGGGTCTTATGGGGTCTTATGGGGTCCTATGGGGTCCTATGGGGCCTTATGGGGTCCTATGGGGTCCTATGGGGTTTCTATGGGGTCCTATGAGGTCCTATGGGGTCCTATGGGGTCCTATGGGGTCCTATGGGGTTTCTATGGGGTCCTATGGGGTCTTATGGGGTCCTATGGGGTCTTATGGGGTCCTATGGGGTCCTATGGGGTCTTATGGGGTCCTATGGGGTCCTATGGGGACTTATGGGGTCCTATGGGGTCCTATGGGGTCCTATGGGGTCTTATGGGGTCCTTATAGGGTCCTCAAGGCTTCCTGTCCCCTTTTAGGATCGCGCTTTGGGGTCGGCGCCCCGTTGGCCCCATAGCGACCAACACATGGACAGGGAGGATCTGATCGAGGCCTATTATGGGATGGCGGAGACCAACAGGTCAGTGGGGTCCTATGGGGTCCTAGGGGGTCCTATGGGGTCCTATGGGGTCTTATGGGGTCCTATGGGGTCCTATGGGGCCTTATGGGGTCTTATGGGGTCCTATGGGGTCCTATGGGGCCTTATGGGGCCTTATAGGGTCTTATGGGTTCCTGGGCGGTCTTATGGGGTCCTATGGGGTTCTATGGGGTCCTATGGGGTCTTATGGGGTCCTATGGGGCCTTATGGGGTCTTATGGGGTCTTATGGGGTCCTATGGGGTCCTATGGGGTCTTATGGGGTCTTATGGGGTCCTATGGGGTCCTATGGGGCCTTATAGGGTCTTATGGGTTCCTGGGCGGTCTTATGGGGTCCTATGGGGTTCTATGGGGTCCTATGGGATCTTATGGGGTCTTATGAGATCCTATGGGATCTTATTGGGCCTTATGGGGTCTTAAGGGGTCCTTTGGGATTTTATGGGGTCTTATGGGATCCTATGCAGTTCTATGGGGTCTGTGGGGTCCTATGGGATCTTACGGGGTCTGTGGGGTGATATGGGGTCCTATGGGGTTTGTAGGGTCCAATGGCGTCCTGTGGGGTCTTATGAGGTGTTATGGGGTCTTATGGGGTCCTATGGGGTCCTGTAGGCTTTTATGGGGTCCAATGGAGTCTTATGGGGTCTGTGGGGTGCTATGGGGTTCTGTGGGTTCCTATGGGGTCCTATGGGGTCTGTGGGGTCCTGTGGGGTGCAATGGGGTTTTATGGGCTCTTATGGGGCCTTATGGGGTCTCATGGGGTGCTATGGGGTCCTATGGGGTTCTATGGGATCCTATGGGGTTTTATGAAGTTTCATGGGGTCTGTGGGGTCCAAAGGGGTCCAATGGAGTCTTATGGGGTCTTATGGGGTCTTATGGGGTCCTGTAGGATTTTATGGGGGCTTATGAGATCCTATGGGGTCCTATGGGGTTTTATGGGGTCGTATGGGGTCCTGTGGGGTCCCATGGGGTCTTATGGGGTCTGTTGCGTCCTATGGGATTCTGTGGGGTTTTATGGGTTCCTATGGGGTCCTATGGGGTTCTATGGGGTCTCAGGTGCTCTGTAAGGTTCTATGGGGTCCTATGGGGTCCTATGGGTTCCTATGGGGTCTGTGGGATCCACTGGGGTCCTATAGGGTCCTAAGGGGTCTTATGGGGTTTGTGGGGTCCTCTGGGGTCCTATGGGGTTGTCTTGGGTTCTATGGGGTCTTATGGGGTCTCATAGATCTCAATGGGTTTCCACGGAGCCCTCTGGGGTCTTATGGGATTTGGGGCCTCCTATGGGGTTCCTCTGGGGTCCTCTGCGGTTTTATGGGGTCCTATGGGGTCTTATGGGGTCCTACGGGGTCTTATGGGGTTCTATAGGGTCCTGTGGGGCCTTAAAGGGTCTTATGGGGTCCTCTTGGGTCTTATGGGGTCTTATGGGGTCCTATGGGGTCTTATGGGGTCATGTGGACCTTAGGGGATCTTGTGGGGTCTTTCAGAGCCTTATGGGGTCTTATGGGGTCCTATGGGGTCTCAGGGTGTTCTATGGGGTTTTGTGGGATGTTGTCTGGTCTGTGGGGTCCTATGGGGTCTTACGGGGTCTGTGGGGTTCTATGGGGTTCTATGGCGTCTGTGGGGTCCTATAGGGTGCAATGGGGTCTTATGGGCTCTTATGGGGTCTTATGGGGTCCTGTAGGATTTTATGGTGGCTGATGAGATACTATGGGGTTCTATGGGGTTTTATGGGGGCTTTTGGGGTCTTATGGGTGCCTATGGGGTCTTATGGGGTTTAATGGGGTCATATGGGGTTCTGAGAGACCCTATGGGGTCCTCTGGGGTTCTATGGGGTCCTATGGGGTCTCACTGGGTCCTATGGGGTCTGTGGGATCCAATGGGGTCTTATGGGGTCCTATGGGATGCTATGGGGTCTTATGGGGTTGTATGGGGTCCTGTGGGGTCCCACGCGGTCTTATGGGGTCTGTGTGGTCCTATGGGATTCAATGGTGCTTTTTCGGGTCTTATTTGATCCTATGGGATCTTATGGGGTCTGTGGGGCCCTGTGGGGTTCTATGGGGTTTTATGGGGTCTGTGGGTTCCTATGGGGTCCTACGGGGTTCTATGGGGTCTTATGGGGTCCCATGGATGTCAATGGGTTTCCACGGAGCCCTATGGGATCTTATGGGGTTTGGGGCCTCCTATGGGGTTCTTATGGGGTCCTGTGGGGTCTGATGGGGTTTTATGGGGTTCTGTAGGGCTTTTTGGGGTCCTATGGGTTCTGTGGGGTTGTATGGTGTCGTATGGGGTCTTATGGGGTTCTATGGGGTCTTATTGGGTCCTATGGGGTCTCACGGGGTCCTGTGGCGTTCTATGGGGTCCTATGGGATCCTATTGGTTCCTATGGGGTCCTGTAGGGTTTTATGGGGTCCTATCGGGTCGTATGGGGTCCTATGGGGTGCAATGGAGTCTTATGGGGGATTTATGGGGTTTTATGGGGTCCTATGGGGTCTTATGGGGTCCTGTCGGGTGCAATGGGGTCGTATGGGGTCCTATGGGGTCTTATGGGGTCCTATGGAGTCTTATAGGGTCCTGTAGGATTTTATAGCAGCTTATGAGATCCTATGGGTTCCTATGGGGTTTTATGGGTGCTTTTGGGGTTCTGAGGGACCCTATGGGGTCCTATGGGCTCCTGTGGGGTCCCATGGGGTCTTATGGGGTCTTATGGGGTCTATGTGGTCCTATGGGATTCAATGGTGCTTTTTGGGGTCTTATTTCATCCTATGGGGTCTTATGGGCTCTGTAAGGTCCTATGGGGTCTGTAGGGTCCTATGGGGTTCTGAGGGGTCCTATGGGGTCCTATGGGGTTGTTTTGGGTTCTATGGGGTCTTATGGGGTTCTATGGGGTCCTGTGGTGTCCTATTGGTTCTTATGGGGTCCTATAGGGTTTTATGGGGTCCTATCGGGTCCTATGGGGTCTGTGGGGTCCAGTGGAGTCTTATGGGGTGTTTGGGGTCGTATGGGTTTCTGTGGGGTCCTATGGGGTCCTATGGGGTCCTATGGGGTCTTATGGGGTCCTATGGGGTCCTATGGGGTCTTATGGGGTCTTATGGGCTCTTATGGGCTCTTATGGGGTCCAATGGGGTGTTATGGGGTCCTGTAGGATTTTATAGCGGCTTATGAGATCTATGGGGTCCTACGCGGTTTAATGGGGTCTTATGGTGTCTATGAGGCCCTATGGGGTTCTATGGGGTTCTGTGGGGCCCTATGGGGTCCTATGGGGTTCTATGGGGCCCTATGGGATCCTATGGGGTCCTATGGGGCCATATGGTGTCCTATGGGGTCCTATTGGTTCCTATGGGGTCCTATAGGGTTTTATGGGGTCTTATCGGGTTCTATGGGGTCTGTGGGGTCCAGTGGAGTCTTCTGGGGTGTATGGGGTCGTATGGGGTTCTATGGGGTCCAATGGGGTCTTATGGGGTCTCACGGGGTCCTATGGGGTCTGTGGGGTCCTATCGGGTGCAATAGCGTCTTATGGGGTCTGTGGGGTCTTATGGGGTCCTATGGGGTTTTATTGGGGCTTAGGGGGTGGTATGTGGTCCTATGGGGTTGTATGGGCTCTTATGGAGTCTTATGGGGTCTTGTAGGGTCCTATGGGGTCCTATGGGGTACTATGGGGTCCTGTGGTGTCTTATGGGGTTTGTGGGGCCCTATGGGTTTCTATGGGGTCTTATGGGTTCTTTTGGGGTTTAATGGGGTCCTATGGGGTTCTATGGTATCCTATGGGGTCCTATGGGGTCTGTGGGGTTGTATAGGGTGCTATGGGGTCCTATGCGTTCCTATGTGGTCTGTGGGATCCTATGGGGTCTTAAGGGGTCCTATGGGGTCTTATGCGGTTTGTGGGGTCCTATGGGTTTCTGTGGGGCCCTATGGGTTTCTATGGGGTCTTATGGGTTCTTTAGGGGTTTAATGGGGTCCTATGGGGTTCTATGGGATCCTATGGGGTCCTATGGGGTTCTATGGGGTCTGTGGGGTCCTATAGGGTCCTCTGGGGTTCTATGGGTTCCTATGGGGTCTGTGGGATCCTATGGGGTCTTAAGGGGTCCTATGGGGTCTTATGGGGTTCTGTGGGGCCCTATGGGTGTCTATGGGGTTCTAAGGGGTCCTATGGGGCCCTATGGGGTTTCTTATGGGGTCTTTCCCCCCTTGCAGGCTGTTGGAGTCGCAGCTGCAGGAGCAGCGGCTGCAGCACGAAGCCGAGCTGGAGGCCATGAGGGAGGAACTGCGAGCAGCCAGGGGGGTAAAGAGGGGCCTATGGGGTCCTATGGGGTCTTATGGGGTCCTATGGGGTCCTATGGGGTCTTATGGGGTCCTATGGGGTCCTATGGGGTCTTATGGGGTCCTATGGGGTCCTATGGGGTCCTATGGGGTCCTATGGGGTCCTATGGGGTCCTATGGGGTTCTATGGGGTCCTATGGGGTCCTATGGGGTCCTATGGGGTCTTATGGGGTCTTATGGGGTCCTATGGGGTCTTATGGGGTCTTATGGGGTCCTATGGGGTCCTATGGGGTCTTATGGGGTCCTATGGGGTCTTATGGGGTCCTATGGGGTCCTATGGGGTCCTATGGGGTCTTATGGGGTCCTATGGGGTCTTATGGGGTCCTATGGGGTCCTATGGGGTCTTATGGGGTCCTATGGGGTCTTATGGGGTCTTATGGGGTCCTATGGGGTCTTATGGGATCCTATGGGGTCCTATGGGGTCTTATGGGGTCCTATGGGGTCTTATGGGGTCTTATGGGGTCTTATGGGGTCCTATGGGGTCCTATGGGGTCTTATGGGGTCCTATGGGGGCCTATGGGGTCTTATGGGGTCCTATGGGGGCCTATGAGATCCTATGGGGTCTTATGGGGTCCTATGGGGTCCTGTGGGGTCTTATGGGGTCTTATGGGGTCCTATGGGGGCCTATGGGGTCCTACGGGGTCTTATGGGGTCCTATGGGGTCTTATGGGGTCCTATGGGGTCCTATGGGGTCTTATGGGGTTCTATGGGGGATTTATGGGGGCCTATGGGGTCTTATGGGGTCTTATGGGGTCCTATGGGGTCCTATGGGGTCTTATGGGGTCCTATGGGGTCTTTTGGGGTCTTATGGGGTCCTATGGGGTCCTATGGGGTCCTATGGGGTCTTATGGGGTCCTATGAGGTCCTTTGGGGTCCTATGGGGTCCTATGGGGTCCTATGGGGTCTTATGGGGTCTTATGGGGTCCTATGGGGTCCTATGGGGGTTTTGGGGAGTTTCCTTATGGGGCGAAGGTTTCCTTTGGGGTTTTTATGGGGTCTCTTTATGGGATCGTTTTTAACTGCGCACCTTTCAGGACCTGGATGAGGATCTTCATGGGACGACCCCACAAACAGAAGGTGGGACCCCAAAACCCCATAACCGACCCCATAACCCCATACCTGACCCCATAACCCCATAACCGACCCCATAACCCCATAACCGACCCCATAACCCCATACCTGACCCCATAACCCCATACCTGACCCCATAACCCCATAACTGACCCCATAACCCCATACCTGACCCCATAACCCCATAAGTGACCCCATAACCCCATAAGTGACCCCATAACCCCATACCTGACCCCATAACCCCATAACCGACCCCATAACCCCATACCTGACCCCATAACCCCATAACCGACCCCATAACCCCATAAGTGACCCCATAACCCCATAACCGACCCCATAACCCCATACCTGACCCCATAACCCCATACCTGACCCCATAACCCCATAAGTGACCCCATAACCCCATAACCGACCCCATAACCCCATAACCGACCCCATAACCCCATACCTGACCCCATAACCCCATAACCGACCCCATAACCCCATACCTGACCCCATAACCCCATAACTGACCCCATAACCCCATACCTGACCCCATAACCCCATAAGTGACCCCATAACCCCATAAGTGACCCCATAACCCCATACCTGACCCCATAACCCCATATCTGACCCCATAACCCCATAACCGACCCCATAACCCCATACCTGACCCCATAACCCCATAACCGACCCCATAAGCCCATACCTGAACCCATAACCCCATAACCGACCCCATAACCCCATAACCGACCCCATAACCCCATACCTGACCCCATAACCCCATAACCGACCCCATAACCCCATACCTGACCCCATAACCCCATAACCGACCCCATAACCCCATAACCGACCCCATAACCCCATACCTGACCCCATAACCCCATAACCGACCCCATAACCCCATACCTGACCCCATAACCCCATAACCGACCCCATAACCCCATACCTGACCCCATAACCCCATACCTGACCCCATAACCCCATAAGTGACCCCATAACCCCATACCTGACCCCATAACCCCATAACCGACCCCATAACCCCATACCTGACCCCATAACCCCATAACCGACCCCATAACCCCATATCTGACCCCATAACCCCATAACCGACCCCATAACCCCATAACCGACCCCATAACCCCTTACCTGACCCCATAACCCCATACCTGACCCCATAACCCCATAACTGACCCCATAACCCCATACCTGACCCCAAAACCCCATAACCAACCCCATAACCCCATATCTGACCCCATAACCCCATACCTGACCCCATAACCCCATACCTGACCCCATAACCCCATAAGTGACCCCATAACCCCATAACCGACCCCATAACCCCATAACCGACCCCATAACCCCATAAGTGACCCCGTAACCCCATATCTGACCCCAAAGCCGACCCCATAACCCCATACCTGACCCCATAACCCCATAAGTGACCCCATAACCCCATACCTGACCCCATGACCCCATAACCGACCCCATAACCCCATACCTGACCCCATAACCCCATAACCGACCCCATAACCCCATAACCGACCCCATAACCCCATAACTGACCCCATAACCCCATACCTGACCCCATAACCCCATAAGTGACCCCATGACCCCATAAGTGACCCCATAACTGACCCCATAACCCCATACTTGAGCCCATAAGTGACCCCATAAACCCATACCTGACCCCATGACCCCATAACCGACCCCATGACCCCATAAGTGACCTCATAAGTGTCCCCATGACCCCGTAAGTGACCCCATAACCCCATAACCGACCCCATAACCCCATAACCGACCCCATAAGTGACTCCATAACCCCATAACCTCATAACCGACCCCATACCTGACCCCATAACCCCATACCTGACCCCATAACCCCATACCTGACCCCATAACCCCATAATTGACCCCATAAGTGACCCCATAAGTGACCCCATGACCCCATAAGTGACCCCATAAGTGACCCCATAACCCCATAAGTGACCCTATAAGTGACTCCATAACCGCATACCTGACCCCATAACCCCATAAGTGACCCCATAAGTGACCCTATAACCCCATAAGTGACCCCATAACCCCATAACCAACCCCATAACCCCATAACCCCATACCTGACCCCATAACCCCATAACCGACCCCATGACCTCATAAGTGACCCCGTAAGTGACCCCATAACCCCATAACCGACCCCATAACCCCATAACCGACCCCATAAGTGACTCCATAACCCCATAACCTCATAACCGACCCCATACCTGACCCCATAACCCCATACCTGACCCCATAACCCCATACCTGACCCCATAACCCCATAATTGACCCCATAACCCCATAAGTGACCCCATGACCCCATAAGTGACCCCATAAGTGACCCCATAACCCCATAAGTGACCCTATAAGTGACTCCATAACCGCATACCTGACCCCATAACCCCATAAGTGACCCCATAAGTGACCCTATAACCCCATAAGTGACCCCATAACCCCATAACCAACCCCCATAACCCCATAACCCCATACCTGACCCCATAACCCCATAACCGACCCCATGACCTCATAAGTGACCCCATAAGTGACCCCATAACCCCATAACCGACCCCATAACCCCATAACTGACCCCATAACCCCATACCTGACCCCGTAACCCCATATCTGACCCCATTACCCCATAAGTGACCCCATAACCCCATAACCAACCCCATAACCCCATAACCCCATAAGTGACCCCATAAGTGACCCCATAACCCCATAAGTGACCCCGTGACCCCATGACCCCATAACTGACCCCATAACCCCATAAGTGACCCCATAAGTGACCCCGTAAGTGACCCCATAACCCCATAACTGACCCCATAACCCCATAAGTGGCCCCATGACCCCATAACCCCATAACTGACCCCATAACCCCATACCTGACCCCATAAGTGACCCCATAACCCCATACCTGACCCCATGACCCCATAACCGACCCCATGACCCCATAAGTGACCTCATAAGTGACCCCATAACCCCATAATCGACCCCATAACCCCATAACTCCATAAGTGACCCCATAACAAGTGACCCCGTGACCCCATGACCCCACACGTGACCCCATGACCCCATAAGTGACCCCATGACCCCATAAGTGACCCCATAAGTGACCCCATAACCCCATAACTGACCCCATAACCCCATACCTGACCCCATAACCCCATAAGTGACCCCATGACCCCATAACCCCATAAGTGACCCCATGACCCCATAAGTGACCCCATAATTGACCCCATAACCCCATAACTGACCCCATAACCCCATACTTGAGCCCATAAGTGACCCCATAAACCCATACCTGACCCCATGACCCCATAAGTGACCCCATAAGTGACCCCATAACCCCATACCTGACCCCATGACCCCATAACCAACCCCATGACCCCATAAGTGACCTCATAAGTGTCCCCATGACCCCGTAAGTGACCCCATAACCCCATAACCGACCCCATAACCCCATAACCGACCCCATAAGTGACTCCATAACCCCATAACCTCATAACCGACCCCACAACCCCATATCCGACCCCATAACCCCATACCTGACCCCATAACCCCATAAGTGACCCCATAAGTGACCCCATAACCCCACACGTGACCACATGACCCCACAAGTGACCCCATAACCCCATAATTGACCCCATAAGTGACCCCATAAGTGACCCCATGACCCCATAAGTGACCCCATAAGTGACCCCATAACCCCATAAGTGACCCCATAAGTGACCCCATAACCCCATAAGTGACCCCGTGACCCCATGACCCCACACGTGACCCCATGACCCCATAAGTGACCCCATGACCCCATAAGTGACCCCATGACCCCATAAGTGACCCCATAACCCCATAACCGACCCCATAAGTGACCCCATAACTGACCCCATAACTGACCCCATAACCCCATACCTGACCCCATGACCCCATAAGTGACCCCATAACCCCATAACCAACCCCATAACCCCATAACCGACCCCATAACCCCATAACTGACCCCATAACCCCATAAGTGACCCCATAAGTGACCCCATAACCCCATAACTGACCCCATAACCGACCCCATGACCCCATAAGTGACCCCATAAGTGACCCCATAACCTCATAAGTGACCTCATAAGTGACCCCATAACCCCATAACTGACCCCATAACCCCATAAGTGACCCCATAAGTGACCCCATAACCCCATAACCCCATAAGTGACCCCATAACTGACCCCATAACCCCATATGTGACCCCATAAGTGACCCCATAACCCCATAACTGACCCCATAACCCCATAACCGACCCCATAACCCCATAACCGACCCCATAACCCCATACCTGACCCCATAACCCCATAACCGACCCCATAACCCCATACCTGACCCCATAACCCCATAACCGACCGCATAACCCCATAAGTGACCCCATAAGTGACCCCATGACCCCACACGTGACCCCATGACCCCATAAGTGACCCCATGACCCCATAAGTGACCCCATAACCCCATAAGTGACCCCATGACCCCATAACCAACCCCATAACCCCATAACCCCATAAGTGACCCCATAACCCCATAAGTGACCCCATGAGTGACCCCATAAGTGACCCCATAAGTGACCCCATAACCGACCCCATAACCCCATACCTGACCCCATGACCCCAAAAGTGACCCCATGACCCCATAAGTGACCCCATAACCAACCCCATAACCCCATAAGTGACCCCATAAGTGACCCCATAACCCCATACCTGACCCCATAACCCCATACCTGACCCCATAACCCCATAACTGACCCCATAACCCCATAACCGACCCCATAACCCCATAACCCCATAAGTGACCCCATAAGTGACTCCATAACCCCATACCTGACCCCATGACCCCATAAGTGACCCCACAAGTGACCCCATAACCCCATAACTGACCCCATGACCCCATAACCGACCCCATGACCCCATAAGTGACCCCGTGACCCCATAACCCCATACCTGACCCCATAACCCCATAAGTGACCCCATAAGTGACCCCATGACCCCATAAGTGACCCCATAAGTGACCCCATAACCCCATTTTTGACCCCATAAGTGACCCCGTGACCTCATAAGTGACCCCATAACCCCATAAGTGACCTCATAAGTGCCCCCATAACCCCATACCTGACCCCATAACCCCATAACCGACCCCATAACCCCATACCTGACCCCATAACCCCATATCTGACCCCATGACCCCATAACCCCATAAGTGACCCCATAAGTGACCCCATAACCCCATACCTGACCCCATAACCCCATACCTGACCCCATGACCCCATAACCGACCCCATAACCCCATAAGTGACCCCATAACCCCATACCTGACCCCATAACCCCATAACTGACCCCATAACCCCATACCTGACCCCACACCTGACCCCATACCTGACCCCATAACCCCATAAGTGACCCCATAAGTGACTCCATAACCCCATAACTGACCCCATAACCCCATAACCCCATAACTGACCCCATAACCCCATAAGTGACCCCATACCTGACCCCATAACCCCATAACTGACCCCATAACCGACCCCATAACCCCATAACCGACCCCATAAGTGACCCCATAACCCCATAACCGACCCCATAACCCCATAACCCCATAAGTGACCCCATAACCCCATAAGTGACCCCATACCTGACCCCATAACCCCATAACTGACCCCATAACCGACCCCATAACCCCATAACCGACCCCATAAGTGACCCCATAACCCCATAACCGACCCCATAACCCCATAACCGACCCCATAACCCCATATCTGACCCCATAACCCCATAACCCCATAAGTGACCCCATAAGTGACCCCATAACCCCATACCTGACCCCATAATCCCATACCTGACCCCATGACCCCATAACCGACCCCATAACCCCATAAGTGACCCCATAACCCCATAACCGACCCCATAACCCCATAACCGACCCCATAACCCCATAACCCCATAATTGACCCCATGGCCCCATAACCCCATAAGTGACCCCATAAGTGACCCCATAACTCCATAAGTGACCCCATAAGTGTCCCCATTACTTTGTGACCCCATAACTGACCCCATGACTGACCCCATAACCCCATAACCGACCCCATAACCCCATAACCGACCCCATAAGCCCATAACCGACCCCATAACCCCATACCTGACCCCATAACCCCATAACCGACCCCATAACCCCATAAGTGACCCCATAAGTGGCCCTATGACCCTGTAAGTGACCCCATAACCCATAACCGACCCCATAAGTGACCCCATGACCCCATAACCGACCCCCATAACCCCATACCTGACCCCATGACCCATAAGTGACCCCATAAGTGACCCATAACCCCCATAACTGACCCCATAAGTGACCCCATAACCCCATAACCGACCCCATAACCCCATAACCCCATATCTGACCCCATAAGTGACCCCATAACCCCATAACCGAACCCATAACCCCATACCTGACCCCATAACCCCATAACTGACCCCATAACCCCATAAGTGACCCCATGAACCCATAAGTGACCCCATAACCCCATACCTGACCCCATAACCCCATAAGTGACCCCATGACCCCATGACCCCACACGTGACCCCATGACCGCATAACTGACCCCATAACCCCATACCTGACCCCATAAGTGACCCCATAACCCCATAAGTGACCCCATAACCCCATAAACCCATAAGTGACCCCATAACCCCATAAGTGACCCCATAACCCCATAACTGACCCATAACCCCATGACCCCATAAGTGACCCCATAACCCCATAAGTGACCCCGTGACCCCATAGGTGACCCCATAACCCATAATTGACCCCATTACCCATAATAGACCCCATAAGTGACCCCATGACCCCATAACCCCATAAGTGACCCCATAAGTGACCCCATAAGTGACCCCATAACCCCTAAGTGACCCCATAAGTGACCCCATAACCCCATAACCAACCCCATAACCCCATAACCCCATAAGTGACCCCATAACCTCATAAGTGACCCCATGACCCCATACCTGACCCCATAACCCCATAAGTGACCCCATAAGTGACCCCATAACCCCATACCTGACCCCATGACCCCATAACCGACCCCATGACCCCATAAGTGACCTCATAAGTGTCCCCATGACCCCATGAGTGACCCCATGACCCCATAACCCCATAAGTGACCCCATAAGTGACCCCATAACCCCATAAGTGACCCCATAACCCCATAACCGACCCCATAAGTGACCCCATAACCCCATAACCGACCCCATAACCCCGTACCTGACCCCATAACCCCATACCTGACCCCATAACCCCATAAGTGACCCCATAAGTGACCCCATGACCCCATAAGTGACCCCATAAGTGACCCCATAACCGCATAACTGACCCCATAACCCCATAACCGACCCCATAACCCCATAACCGACCCCATAACCCCATACCTGACCCCATAACCCCATAACCGACCCCATAACCCCATAACCGACCCCATAACCCCATACCTGACCCCATAACCCCATAACCGACCCCATAACCCCATACCTGACCCCATAACCCCATAACCGACCCCATAAGCCCATAAGTGACCCCATAACCCCATATCTGACCCCATAACCCCATACCTGACCCCATAACCGACCCCATAACCCCATACCTGACCCCATAACCCCATATCCTGACCCCATAACCCCATAACCGACCCCATAACCCCACACCTGACCCCATAACCCCATAATTGACCCCATAACCGACCCCATAACCCCATAACCCCATAACTGACCCCATAACCCCATAACCGACCCCATAACCCCATACCTGACCCCATAACCCCATAACCGACCCCATAACCCCATAACCGACCCCATAACCCCATACCTGACCCCATAACCCCATAACCGACCCCATAACCCCATAACCGACCCCATAACCCCATACCTGACCCCATAACCCCATAACCGACCCCATAACCCCATACCTGACCCCATAACCCCATACCTGACCCCATAACCCCATAACCGACCCCATAACCCCACACCTGACCCCATAACCCCATAAGTGACCCCATAACCCCATACCTGACCCCATAACCCCATAACTGACCCCATGACCGCATACCTGACCCCATAACCCCATAACCGACCCCATAACCCCATAACCGACCCCATAACCCCATAAGCGACCCCATAACCCCATACCTGACCCCATAACCCCATAAGTGACCCCATAACCCCATAAGCGACCCCATAACCCCATAAGCGACCCCATAACCCCATACCTGACCCCATAACCCCATACCTGACCCCATAACCCCATAAGCGACCCCATAACCCCATACCTGACCCCATAACCCCATATCCTGACCCCATAACCCCATAAGTGACCCCATAACCCCATACCTGACCTCATAACCCCATAACTGACCCCATAACCCCATACCTGACCCCATAACCCCATAACCGACCCCATAACCCCATAACCGACCCCATAACCCCATACCTGACCCCATAACCCCATACCTGACCCCATAACCCGATAACCGACCCCATAACCCCATAAGTGACCCCATAACCCCATAAGTGACCCCATAACCCCATACCTGACCCCATAACCCCATAACTGACCCCATAACCCCATAAGCGACCCCATAACCCCATAAGTGACCCCATAACCCCATACCTGACCCCATAACCCCATACCTGACCCCATAACCCCATAACCGACCCCATAACCCCATACCTGACCCCATAACCCCATGACCCCATAAGTGACCCCGTGACCCCATAGCTGACCCCATAACCCCATAATTGACCCCATAAGTGACCCCATATCCGACCCCATAAGTGACCACATACGTGACCCCATAACCCCATAAGTGACCCCATAACCCCATAACCCCATAATTGACCCCATGACCCCATAAGTGACCCCATAAGTGACCCCATAACCCCGTAACCGAACCCATAACCCCATACCTGACCCCATAACCCCATAACCGACCCCATAACCCCATACCTGACTCCATAACCCGATAACCGACCCCATAACCCCATAACCGACCCCATAACCCCATAACCGATCCCATGACCCCATAAGTGACCCCATAACCCCATAAGTGACCCCATAACCCCATAACTGACCCCATAACCCCATGACCCCATAAGTGACCCCATAAGTGACCCCATGACCCCATAAGTGACCCCGTGACCCCATAACCGACCCCATAACCCCATACCTGACCCCATAACCCCATAACCGACCCCATAACCCCATAAGTGACCCCATAACCCCATACCTGACCCCATAACCCCATAACCGACCCCATAACCCCATAACTGACCCCATAACCCCATAAGCGACCCCATAACCCCATAACCAACCCCATAACCCCATACCTGACCCCATAACCCCATAAGTGACCCCATAACCCCATAACCGACCCCATAACCCCATACCTGACCCCATAACCCCATACCTGACCCCATAACCCCATAACCGACCCCATAACCCCATACCTGACCCCATAAGTGACCCCATAACCCCATAACTGACCCCATAACCCCAGACCTGACCCCATAACCCCATAAGTGACCCCATAACCCCATAACCGACCCCATAACCCCATACCTGACCCCTTAAGTGACCCCATAACCCCATACCTGACCCCATAACCCCATACCAGACCCCATAACCCCATAAGTGACCCCATAAGTGACCCCATAACCCCATAACTGACCCCATGACCCCATAAGTGACCCCATAATTGACCCCATAACCCCATACCTGACCCCATAACCCCATACCTGACCCCATAACCCCATACCTGACCCCATAACCCCATAACTGACCCCATAACCCCATACCTGACCCCATAACCCCATAACCGACCCCATAACCCCATAAGCGACCCCATAACCCCATATCCGACCCCATAACCCCATAACTGACCCCATAACCCCATAACCTGACCCCATAACCCCATAACCGACCCCATAACCCCACACCTGACCCCATAACCCCATAACTGACCCCATAACCCCACACCTGACCCCATAACCCCATAACTGACCCCATAACCCCACACCTGACCCCATAACCCCATAACTGACCCCATAACCCCATACCTGACCCCATAACCCCATAACCGACCCCATAACCCCATAACCTGACCCCATAACCCCATACCGACCCCATAACCCCATACCTGACCCCATAACCCCATAACTGACCGCATAACCCCATACCTGACCCCATAACCCCATAACTGACCCCATAACCCCACACCTGACCCCATAACCCCATACCTGACCACATAACCCCATAACCGACCCCATAACCCCATACCTGACCCCATAACCCCATAAGTGATCCCATAACCCCATAAGTGACCCCATAACCCCATACCTGACCCCATAACCCCATACCTGACCCCATAACCCCATAACCGACCCCATAACCCCATACCTGACCCCATAACCCCATAACCGACCCCATAACCCCATACCTGACCCCATAACCCCATACCTGACCCCATAACCCCATAACCCCATAAGTGACCCCATAACCCCACAAGTGACCCCGTGACCCCATAGCTGACCCCATAACCCCATAATTGACCCCATAAGTGACCCCATAAGTGACCCCATAACCCCATACCTGACCCCATAACCCCATAAGTGACCCCATAAGTGGCCCCATAACCCCATACCTGACCCCATAACCCCATACCTGACCCCATGACCCCATAAGTGACCCCATAAGTGACCCCATGACCCCATAACCCCATAATTGACCCCATAACCCCATAATTGACCCCATAAGTGACCCCATAAGTGACCCCATGACCCCATAACCCCATAATTGACCCCATAAGTGACCCCATGACCCCATAACCCCATAACTGACCCCATGACCCCATAAGTGACCCCATGACCCCATAACCCCATAATTGACCCCATAACCCCATAATTGACCCCATAAGTGACCCCATAAGTGACCCCATGACCCCTTAACCCCATAATTGACCCCATAAGTGACCCCATGACCCCATAACCCCATAACTGACCCCATGACCCCATAAGTGACCCCATAATTGACCCCATAACCCCATACCTGACCCCATAACCCCATAACTGACCCCATAACCCCATACCTGACCCCATAACCCCATAACCGACCCCATAACCCCATAAGCGACCCCATAACCCCATACCTGACCCCATAACACCATAAGTGACCCCATAACCCCATAAGCGACCCCATAACCCCACACCTGACCCCATAACCCCATGCCTGACCCCATAACCCCATAACCGACCCCATAACCCCATACCTGACCCCATAACCCCATAACCGACCCCATATCCCCATAACCGACCCCATAACCCCATGATCCCATAAGTGACCCCATAAGTGACCCCATAACCCCATACCTGACCCCATAACCCCATAATTGACCCCATAAGTGACCCCATAAGTGACCCCATGACCCCATAACCCCATAATTGACCCCATGACCCCATAAGTGACCGCATGAGTGACCCCATAATCCCATAGCTGACCCCATGACCCCATAAGTGACCCCATAACCCCATAACCGAACCCATAACCCCATATCTGACCCCATAACCCCCTAAGTGACCCCATGACTCCATAAGTGACCCCATAAGTGACCCATACCCATAACCCACCCATACCGACCCCATAACCCATAACCGACCCCATAACCCCATACCTGACCCCATAACCCCATAAGTGACCCCATAACCGACCCCATAACCCCATACCTGACCCCATAACCCCATACCTGACCCCATAACCCCATACCTGACCCCATAACCCCATAACCGACCCCATAACCCCATACCTGACCCCATAACCCATAAGTGACCCCATAACCCCATAAGTGACCCCATAAGTGACCCCATAACCCCATACCTGACCCCATAACCCCATAAGTGACCCCATAAGTGACCCCATAACCCCATACCTGACCCCATAACCCCATAACCGACCCCATAACCCCATACCCGACCCCATAACCCCATAACCGACCCCATAACCCCATAACCGACCCCATAACCCCATACCTGACCCCATAACCCCATACCTGACCCCATAACCCCATAACCGACCCCATAACCCCATTACCGACCCCCATAACCCCATACCAGACCCCATAACCCCATACCTGACCCATAACCCCATAAGTGAGCCCATAAGTGACCCCATAACCCCATAAGTGACCCCATAACCCCATAACCAACCCCATAACCCCATAACCCCATACCTGACCCCATAACCCCATAACCGACCCCATAACCCCATAATTGACCCCATGACCCCATAAGTGACCCCATAACCCCATAATTGACCCCATGACCCCATAAGTGACCCCATAAGTGACCCCATGACCCCTTAACAACCCCATAAGTGACCCCGTGACCCCACACGTGACCCCATGACCCCATAAGTGACCCCATAAGTGACCCCATAACCCCATAACTGACCCCATAATCCCATTAGTGACCCCATAAGTGACTCCATAACCCCATAAGTGACCCCATAAGTGACCCCATAAGTGACCCCATAACCCCATAACCGACCCCATAACCCCATAACCGACCCCATAACCCCATACCTGACCCCATAACCCCATAACCCCATAAGTGACCCCATAAGTGACCCCATAACCCCATAAGTGACCCCATAACCCCATAACCCCATAAGTGACCCCATAAGTGACCCCATAACCCCATAACTGACCCCATAACCCCATAACCCCATAAGTGACCCCATAAGTGACCCCATAACCCCATACCTGACCCCATAACCCCATAACCCCATAAGTGACCCCATAAGTGACCCCATAACCCCATAAGTGACCCCATAACCCCATAACCCCATAAGTGACCCCATAAGTGACCCCATAACCCCATACCTTGACCCCATAACCCCATAACCCCATAAGTGACCCCATAAGTGACCCCATAACCCCATAAGTGACCCCATAACCCCATAACCCCCATAAGTGACCCCATAAGTGACCCCATAACCCCATAACTGACCCCATAACCCCATAACCCCATAAGTGACCCCATAAGTGACTCCATAACCCATACCTGACCCCATAACCCCATAACCGACCCCATAACCCCATACCTGACCCCATAACCCCATAACCGACCCCATAACCCCATACCTGACCCCATAACCCATAAGTGACCCCATAACCCCATACCTGACCCCATAACCCCATAACCGACCCCATAACCCCATAACCGATCCCATGACCCCAAAGCTGACCCCATGACCCCATAAGTGACCCCATAACCCCATAACCGACCCCATAACCCCATACCTGACCCCATAACCCCATAACTGACCCCATAACCCCATACCTGACCCCATAACCCCATAACCGACCCCATAACCCCATACCTGACCCCATAACCCCATAACCGACCCCATAACCCCATACCTGACCCCATAACCCCATAACCGACCCCATAACCCCATAACCGACCCCATAACCCCATTACCGACCCCATAACCCCATACCAGACCCCATAACCCCATACCCTGACCCCATAACCCCATAAGTGAGCCCATAAGTGACCCCATAACCCCATAAGTGACCCCATAACCCCATAACCACCCCATAACCCCATAACCCCATACCTGACCCCATAACCCCATAACCGACCCCATAACCCCGCATAAATTGACCC